AGCTCAGATCAGAAGGGGGGGGGGGCAAATTGTGGCAAAATTAATAGCACATTTTATATTTTATATTTTATTTTTCCACCCATTTCACCACGCAGAGAATGCTTAAGCATGCAAAGGGTTTTTAAGTGCTCTTATTGAACCATTGTCTTTACTACACTCTTTGGATGGTTCTTCAAGGGTTCTTGACCTATATAGAACCATTTGCAGGATTAAAGTGTTCTTTGCATTATGAAATGGTTCTTCAGACTGATGGAGAATGTGCTGTAGATTGTTCTATGTAGCACAAAAAAGGGTTCTGCTGTTGTGACGATGTCAGGCTTGTAACAGTAGAATAGCCCTTTTAGTGCTCTATAGACCCAAATACAACACATTCTCCATCAGTCTGAGGAACCGTTTGACCATGCAGAGAACCACTGAAGCATTTTGTATTTTATGTTTTATTTTTGCCTATACATTAAAATCTATAAGCTAACAGTAGATTAGAGTGTGCTGAAGTGTGTCTCTGTAGAGGGGCTGTTCACCTATTTACACTTGGGGTGATCTGGGGTGTTCAAACTTTTGCACATGACTGTGTGTATATCTGCCTATTCAGCCCACAGCAGTTTAGCCCCGCCCATTCAACTTACAACTGAAGTGATAGCCTTTTTGAATGAGGCACAATACAGGACAGCCAATCAGAACAGGGCTCATTTGCATACGCCAGTCGTACAGCACTGTAACAAAAACAGCCTGGATACAGACACAGACTGGTTTGGCTGAACTGGATGGAAATAAACGTTTTTTTGTGTTACACTCTCAAAAAGATGGTTCTTCAAGGGTTCTTTAGTAAAGACAGTGGTTCTATGTACAACCATCAACACTCAAAGAACCATCTGCATGCTTGAATGGTTCTTTGCAGGGTGAAGGGGTTCTATATAGCACCAAAAAGGGTTCTTCTATTGCTACAAATTTGACATTGTTACGATAGCAGAACCCTTTTTGGTGCAATATAGAACCAAAAATTGTACCATGCAGATGGCTCTTTGGTGGTTCATGGTTCAATATTGAACCTACAATCTTGAAAAAGATGGTTCTTCAGGGGTTCTTTAGTTAAAAAAGTTCTATATAGAACATGAACATGATTCTTAAGATTGATGGAGAATGTGCTGTAGATGGTTCTTCATAGAACCTTTTTGAAAATGGTTCTATATAGTACCAAAAAGGGTTACAAGCTTAACATCATAACAATAGTAGAATCTTTTTTGGTGCTATGTAGAACCATATGCAACACATTCTCCGTCAGTCTGAAGAACCTTTTCACCATGCAGAGAATGCTTAAGCATGCAAACGATTCTTTGAGTGCTCATGGTTCTGTCTTTACTACGTTCTTTAAAAAAAGTTCTTCAAGGGTTCTTTAGTCAGGAAAATGGTTCTATTTAGAGCCTTTTGCAGGTTTATATGGTTCTTTGTAAAGAAAATGATTCTATATGGAACCATTTGCATGATTAAATGGTTCTGTGCATTGAGAAATCGTTCTTCAGATTGATGGAGAACGCGCTGTAGATGGTTCTATATAGCTTCAAAAATGGGTTCTGCTGTCATTCTTTGTAAAGAAAATGGTTCTATATGGAACCGTTTGTAGGATTAAAGGGTTCTTTGCATTGTGAAATGGTCCTTCAAATTGATGGAGAATGTGCTGCAGATGGTTCTACATAGAACCTTTTTGAAAATGCTTCTACATAGCACCAAAAAAGCTTACAAGCTTGACATCATAACAATAGCAGAACCCTTTTTGGAGCTATATAGAACCATATACAACACATGCATCAATCTGAAGAACCATTTCACCATGCAGAGAATGCTTAAGCTTGCAAAGGGTTCTTTGAGTGCTCATGGTTCTATTTTGAACCATTGTCTTCTTCAGGGGTTCTTTAGTCAAGAAAATGGTTCTATTTAGAGCCCTTTGCAGGATTAAATGGTTCTTTGCATCGTGAAGTGGTTCTTCAGATTGATGGAGAAGTTGTAGATGCACTTTTGGAAAATGGTTCTATATAGTGCTGAGGATTTCTGCTGTTGTGACGATGTCAAGCTGTCAATAGAAGAACCCTTTTTGGTGTTATATAGAACCATATACAACACATTCTCTGTCTCAGTCTGAAGAACCATTTCACCAGAGAACCACTGAAACATGCAAATGATTCTTTAAGTGTTCATCTTTACCAGAGAACCCTTGAAGACCTTTTTTAAGAGTGTAGTTGTTGGTAAACAGACTTAATTGCGGAATATATTATTTAAATCATATGGATAGAATCTCGGTTCTCTCCCACGCTGACCCGCCGAGTCGGCCGTTCCTCTTCACTGACCATATGAAAGTTGAACTCTCTGCCACTTTGAGTAAAGAGGAACTGTTTTGTGAAACAGTCACTTCTGCTGCCTCGGCGCTGCGCAGGGTCTGACATGAAGAGGTGTTACAATACAGTAAATCCCAGATTCAGAGCATGCTGGGTTCTGTGTTTATGCATCTTTCTTCACTCTCGCCTGTGGCGAAAACATGATTGCATGCATTTAAATCAGAGGACTTTCCCAGCTGCAGTGAGACCCGGTACTAAAACCTCTTTATCCTCCTTTAAATTCATCCCGTCTACACTCAGCGTCCTGCAGAGAAACAGCCAACAGCACACAGTAACACTGACCTTAACACTCCACAAGCTGAGAACCTCAATGAACAGCTTTACTTCCATAATATCTCAGAAACATAAATACAGAACTGAATGTGCAGATTTTTAGATATATTATATAATATAATATAATATAGCCTTCCGCCCAATGACAGCTGGGATAGGCTCTAGCATATAGCTAGCATTATAACAGACCAATCAACAAGCTCAACCTAAACATCACATTTTATTTTGCAAATAATGATCACAATAATAATTAATAGGTGTCATATTTAAAATTATAGTTATTAAGTGTATATATATATATATATATATACACTATGTTGCCAAAAGTATTCACTCACCCAATTCAGGTGTTCCAATCACTTCCATGGTCACAGGTGTATAAACCGAGCCCCTAGGCCTGCAGACTGCTTCTACAGACATTAGTGAAAGAATGGGTCACTCTCAGGAGCTCAGTGGACTCCAGCGTGGTACCGTGATCGGACGCCACCTGTGGAACAAGTCCAGTCGTGAAATTTCCTCACTACTAAATATTCCACAGTCAACTGCCAGTGGTATCATAACAAAGTGGAAGCGATTGGGAACGACAGCAACTCAGCCACGAAGTGGTCGGCCACGTAAAATGACAGAGCGGGGTCAGCGGATGCTGAGGCGCATAGTGCGCAGAGGTCACCAACTTTCTGCAGGGTCAATCGCTACAGACCTCCAAACTTCATGTGGCCTTCAGATCAGCTCAATAACAGCGTAGAGAGCTTCATGAATGGGTTTCCATGGCCGAGCAGCTGCATCCAAGCCTTACATCACCAAGCGCAATGCAAAGCGTCGAATGCAGTGGTGTAAAGCGCCACCACTGGACTCTAGAGCAGTGGAGACGTGTTCTCTGGAGTGACCAATCACGCTTCTCCGTCTGACAATCTGATGGACGAGTCTGGGTACTTGTCTGACTGTATTGTGCCGAGTGTAAAGTTTGGTGGAGGGGGGATTATGGTGTGGGGTTGTTTTTCAGGAGTTGGACTCGGCCCCTTAGTTCCAGTGAAAGGAGCTCTTAATGCTTCAGCACCAAGAGATTTTGGACAATTTCATGCTCCCAACTTTGTGGGAACAGTTTGGGGAGTTTGGCCCCTTCCTGTTCCAACATGACTGCACACCAGTGCACAAAGCAGCTCCATAAAGACATGGATGAGCGAGTTTGGTGTGGAAGAACTTGACTGGCCTGCACAGAGTCCTGACCTCAACCCGATAGAACACCTTCGGGATGAATTAGAGCGGAGACTGCGAGCCACTGTGGCCCTTTAGGGGGCAGCAGCCCAAAGGTTGAAAACCATTATAGTATGATGTAATATAATGTAGTATAATAGATCATTTTAAAAACGTAGAAATCTTCCTCAAACTCACAGTTATACATGCTGTACTTACATTCATGCATTGACACCAACTATTGGTGGTGCAGTGGGTCACTGATCCCTCCAGCACTGAAGCTGCAGTCCTCTAGAAAAGCTCTGGAAAAGCCCTGATACTGAAATTGTGTTTAGTTGAGTTAAGCATGCAGACAGGACTGGAACAAAAAAGCTGTTTTTTTTCTGGCATGTTGGTCAAATACAGCAGGAAGAACTGGTACAACGTGAGGTTTTGTTGACCCAGTTATGTGTGTGTATGTGTGTGTGTGTGTGTGTCTGTGTGTGTGTTCTTGTCTTGCTCCAAATGTCCTCACAATGAAAAGACAATATGAAACCCATTCACACAGACACTGATGAGGAAATTCACAGAAACACTTGTTTTACTATACTTGTCAGGACCTCTGTAGCCAAGTAACATTACATTCACACCTAAAAGGTAACATATAAATTTAAATAAAAAAAAATATGTTGAAAACTGTACAGTTTCAAGTGAAGACTTTTCCGCTGGTCAGTAGAAAAGAGCAGAAACTTTGCCCTTAGATTTGGGTTTAGGTGTAAGTAGGTTTAAGTGTTACTTGGCGTCACTATGGAAGTCCTCACAAGTATAGTGAGGAAAAAAAGGGTGTGTGTGCTCATCTTGACATGTCCTCACAGTGATAGGACAACATGATGTTTTTGCTCAAGCGAGGACATTTTGTTGAGCACGTGGTGTTTTTGCCACAAATTAAATTTTTTGGGAAAAACAAAGAGAAAGTTCAGGGTCAGGTGTCGGATTGTTTGGCTACAGTAATAAAAAATCAATAGAAATCAATAAAGGTCCTCACTATAAATGTAAGACAAACATGTGAGTGTGTGTGTGTGGAAAAAGTTCCTCATCGGCGTGTGTGTAAATCAGTGTGTGTGTGTGTGTGTGTGTGTGTGTGTGTGTGTTCACTACACAGGGAGTTTTATCAGTGCCAGTGTCAGGAAGTGAGCAGCTTCAGCTGGTGAGACGTGAGAAAACCAGTGTTTATCTTTGAGAGTCAGAGTGTGTGTTCACACCAGCGCTGCCTCAAACACACAGACACACACAGAGGACAGTAAGGTAAGAGGGCCTTTAATGAACTTTAAAATCTCCTGCTTTTAGTTTCCATGTTAAATGTACAGTTACTAAAACTGAAGGATGAAACTTTCAGTCTGTTTGAATAAAATCAGTTTAATTTTCTCTCAGCGTCTACCTGAAAACACGTCTTATGCAAAAGTTAATACGCAATTACTGTTTATTTCCTGATTTTAATACATTGTGGAAAAAAATTGTTTTCTTCCCCAATATGTTAAACTTCGCAAAATTATTTTCACTCAGAAATTCAACAACAACATTAACGACATTTTGACTTTGCATATGATTATTATATTATTATGATATTTATCTGGGCAGTAAGTATTTGTGTGTTTTAAAAAAAGCATATGTATATATATATATATATATATATATATAGTCAATGAGTGTGTATATATCATATATATATATCATATTCAGCGAGTATATATCACATATATTATACATACAGTAATATATCATATTCCTGATCACTGTCTTCATGCTTATTTGTGTTTATTTGTGTTTATTTGTGTTTATTTGTGTTATATCCAATGTTATGTAGTTATGCAGTGTTCTTACTGAGACAAACACACTTACAGCCCAGATCAATAGTTTCAATCAGGTTCCATGGCTGCCCAAGACTTTTGCCCAGTACTGAAAGTTTGAAAGCCTTACTGTAAAGCTTTAAAGCAAATTTGTGTCCTTGGTCAACTTCAAACTCAATTAAGAGTGACTTTAATTGGCCCACTGAGGACCTTCAGTTGGACACTGAGGAAATATGTGACCTGCTGAACAGTGACCGCAGCACTTTATGAGCTAACGCCATGCGCTCTGTCCAGTTACAGTCAAAGTGATCTGCTGTGAATGCGTTTGTCCAGGAGCTGATAGTGTAACATGGTGTCAGATTAGTCGCCATGACAATGACGTTGCTTCAAAGGCTGTAAGATCTTAATAGCTCTTCAAAAGCCATGTACTGAAATCTAAGCTTGCAGATGAATGTCTGAATGCATCTTCACAGCTTTCAGATAATCAGTAAGACCCCAAACAGAGAGCCTGTTTACAACCCGCATTGAGGTGTTTCGTGTCCAGATTGTATCTGGATAAACTTTGTCCAGATTTTGTTTACACTTTTCACTTAAACGCGTCTCAGTGTGACCAGATGAGATCCGACTGTACTTTTATTGTGTAAAGTCATGTCGGCAGAAACGTCGTTTCGGTTTTACTTTTGTTTAATCTTCCCCGTCACGAGACAAATGGACAAGCTTGGACGCTTTCATCAGCCTGGAGTCATGAAGGCTGTTGGTTTGGGGAACTCCAGCCTGGCATCCTCCATCTTTAGATTCCTTGTTTAACCTCTTATTCTCCAGGGGATATTTTGGTTTGTCCGTCTGAATTTCCATGACCAAATCGTGAGGCAAATTATTCAGTAACTGCATGAAATAAATGTACATTTTTATTTTATTTATTTGTTTATTTTTGTTAAAAGCTCCCCTCAAATTAACAGAACATGTTTTATGAGCTACACATATTGCTATATGCTTACAATTTACTGCTGAAAGCCAAAAATCTTAGTGTTATTTTATAATAATAATGTTTACAGAGCAGATCACTGAAGAGACGCCATCTGTTTATAGTTTATAGCCCAGATTTGTGGAAAAATGGGTCGACTTTCAGTAAACAAATAAACTGAGTTCAGCTTCTTTTATTATAAGGGTGTAAAATGACATCACCCATCTATTTGACTGGAAAGAAGACAGTCACAGCTTTCATACGACCCCCACCTTTAGAATGTAGCTTATGAAATATGAAAGTTATGAAGAATATGACGAAGTGCGTTTTGGAACCACCGGTGGCCTCAAGGAGTTGAAGAGGTTAAAGTCTCACCTGCTCAGCAAACGCTTTTCCTCTCATGTAATATTAGGGGTGTTACGATTCTCCGAATCCACAGTTCGGTTCATACCTCAGACTTTTATTAAATCACCAACAATTTGGGGCTCTAAAGAGAAGAACACTACAGAACATGGGCTACAGCTCAGCTACCTTTACACAGAATAATAATTTCCTCATTTGCATTCGCTTTAGTGTTAAATGTAATATGAAAAATGAGTTTTGATACCTTAGTAATGTAATGAGAGCTCAAGTGCGAGTCTTCACTTCTGACTTTATTATTATCCAGATGGTGTTGACATCAAAAAAATGAAAGACACTAACAACAAAACAAAGCAACTGTAAACATGATAACTTTTCATCAAATTGATGCTAAAAGTTCAGATGGACTGAAAGTTTAAATGACTGAAAGTTTGAGTAATTGAAAGTTCAGATGATTGAAAGTTCAGAAGGATGGAAAGTTTAAAGAATTGAAAGTTCAGACAGATTGAAAGTTCAGATGGATTGAAAGTTTAAATGATTGAAAGTTCAGACAGATTGAAAGTTCAGATGGATTGAAAGTTCAGATGGATTGAAAGTTTAAATGATTGAAAGTTCAGATGGATTGAAAGTTCAGATGGATTTAAAGTTTCGATGGATTTAAAGTTCAGATGGACTGAAAGTTTAGCACTTTCCACCCAGTTCATCCACTTGTCTCAAGGAGAGATAATCTGTGTGAAATTAGAACTGTGATTTATCATCGCTGGTGATGACTGTGACTTCTAATGGTTAATAACAGGTAATCTTTACACATAAGGGTTCATTTATTAACCATGATGCCTCCAATTATCAGAGCACACTGGTTCCTGATATCTTAGCCTAACGTCCTTCATTCGTTCAGTGTAAAACGAGTTGCCTTGCTCTACATGGACGTTCCTTCTGTTTCTCTGCTAAACCCCCCAGAACATCATCAAAACCACACAATGGAAAACCACAGAAACGCTGTTTCTGTCAGACACCTGTTTCCTCACTGCTGTGCGTCTTCTGCCCCACACAGTGGTGTCTCAGTGGCTGAGTGGCCTTAAAGGGCTCACAGCGCTAAAAACTGAATTCTGACCGTTTTTCTTTTAAGTAAAAATATTTGGTCAGTCAGCCTACTGCAGTTTAGCCCCGCCCATCCAGCCTACAACCACGTAGCTCAGCCTATTCATCTTATCAGTTTATTAATCGTAAGTTTAGCCCCACCCATTCAGCCTATATCCGTTTAGCCCCACCCATTCAGCCTATATCCGTTTAGCCCCACCCATTCAGCCTATATCTGTTTAGCCCCACCCATTCAGCCCACAACAGTTTAGTGCCACCCATTGAGCCTATGGCAGTTTAGCCCAGCTCACTTGGCCTACAACCATTTACCCCAACCATTCAGCCTATGGCTGTTTAGCTCCACCCATTCAGCTTAGAACAGTTTAGCCTGCCCATTCAGCCTAGAGCAGTTTAGCCCCGCCCATTCTGATTGAAGTGATGTGGAGTGTTGTTCCTGCAGACAGTCACAGTTGTGGAAGATGTGGAAAAATGTTTGCAATTAATTTGGTACATAACCCCACAAAAATACAACAGAACTGTAGAATATGGGCCCTTCAAAGATTCATCTTTCCTGCAGGATGACGGACATTGAGAAGCAGCCCATTCCTGAAGAGGTGGGCGGTGGGCCCAGTGTGTCTGCAGTTGCCTCGCCTCCGTATCCCACTGGAGCTGGACAGATGCAGCCGCCTCCACCCTACCTGCCCCCTCCCTACCCCTACGGCCCGATCGTCCAGCCCCCTTACCCTCCAGTAGAGGCATCCTGTGCCAATAGCCTCATCCCTCCCCCAGACTACACCGCTTACCCCCCCATGCAAGGCGGCTGCGTAGCGGACAACCTGCCCCCAGAGGAGAGCATGGTGATGCAGGACACAGGTACGTTCACACTGGGCTGGGACCACAGATGAGTTCTTCATGAGTTCTTCTAGGAAACTTAAGTAGCCAGCAAGTAATGGAGACCGACCCATTAGCATGGTGCTAACGGCATGTCTAAATCAGCACAGACTTGCCTCACACTGTGTGGAGTTCTTAGGACCTCTGATGTGCTCATGAGGTTTCAGACACTGTACACACATTCAGGAGGGGAGGGAACTGAGTACATTATATATTTTTGTGGTATCATTTAAGAGTAGCCTTACTTTGTGCTTCCGCTAACTGGCTACTTTATCAGAAACACCCATCTTGTGTTTCCACTAAAGGGCCACTTTATTAGAAACACCTACCTTGTGCTTCCGCTAACTGGCCACTTTATTAGAAACACCTATCTCGTGCTTTCACTAACTGGCCACTTTATTAGAAACACCTATCTCATGCTTTCACTAACTGGCCACTTTATTAGAAACACCCACCTTGTGCTTCCACTAACTGGCCACTTTATTAGAAACACCTATCTTGTGCCTCCACTAACTGGCCACTTTATTAGAAACACCTATCTTGTGCTTTCACTAACCGGCCACTTTATTAGAAACGCCCACCTTATGTTTTCACTTCCTGGCCACTTTATCAGAAACACCTACCTTGTGCTTCTGCTAACTGGCCACTTCATTAGAAACACCAAACTTGTGCTTCCACTAACTGGCCACTTTATTTGAAACACCAACTTTATGCTTCCAAGCCAAGAGTGGCTCTGTGGTCAGAACCTGACCAATGATGAAGGACTAGAGGATCTGCATTAACAGATGAATTAAAGCCTTCAGCTGTACACCAGCAAGGAGGAGTGATTTCTGGTAAAGTGGCTGCATTTCGATTCTGGTGTATGAAGGATAACTGTGTTCACTCTCGAACAGGAGCCGTGTGTCCAGAAACCCAACCTGCCTTTATATCATCGTTTGATGACAACACCGTGCGGCGGGCGTTTATCAGAAAGGTTTGTGCTGTTATTACTGTCTTGTAGCAATTAAAAAAAATATATTTTCCACATTTAAAGACGTCACTATTTACATTTGTCTCAGAAACAAACTTTAAGCATGAGCCTTTGGCTCCCGTTCCTCTCTGTGTACCTGAGCAGGTGTTCAGCGTGGTCACACTGCAGCTGCTGGTCACCTTCTCCGTGGTGTGCGTGTTCACCTTCTCGGACAGTGTGAAGACTGCTGTGAAGAAAAACATTTGGGTGTACATTAGCTCCTACATCATCTTTCTGGTGGTGGCACTGGCTCTGAGCTTCTCCTCCTCCTTAAGCCGCTCGTACCCCTGGAACTTCATCAGCCTGGTGAGAGACTGTTTGTTTTCAGATATGTTCAGTATTTTATATATATATATATATATGTACATATTTTGGACTGACCGTGCTGCTGTAGGAGCATTGGAGGTGTGGCCATGCAAAGTTCCCCTTGCAAGAAGAGACATTTGATGTTCATGTTGCTGTTGTTCAGTCTAAGATGTGCACATGTGTTACTGGTGCTATTCTGTGCTGGGCTGTGCGGTAGTTAATGCCTACCGTAGGGTCCAGAGTGTACGGCTGGAGATGACCTGCCTGCTATCCCAGAGACTTGAGTAGCGCTTGCTGCCTGTTCAATGCTTCCAGCGTCTTCTTCTTCTTCTTCTTCTTCACTGATGCTACACTGGTGTCAGAAGTGGGATCATTCCCCCCAGCAGCAGGGACAGCAGACAGATTACCTCCAGCTGTACAACCTCTCCCTACGGTTGGCACCAACATATATATATATATATATATATATATATATATATATATATATATATATATATATATATCACATATGGGACATATTATTACATATAGGTTCTTACATATATAGAACACATAAGGGATATATTATTATTTATTACAATATAACAAGGGGTCACCATGACTACAACACAAATATTGCCATTTTATTTACTATCCATTTATTTTACTATTACAGTTCATACAGTTCATACAGACCATACAGTTCATACAGACCATACAGACCATACAGTCCATACAGTTCATACAGACCATACAGTCCATACAGACCATACAGACCATACAGTCCATATAGTCCATACAGTTCATATAGTCCATACAGACCATACAGACCATACAGTCCATACAGACCATACAGACCATACAGTCCATACAGTCCATATAGTCCATACAGACCATACAGTCCATACAGACCATACAGACCATACAGTCCATATAGTCCATATAGTCCATACAGACCATACAGACCATATATGGAAACTAAATTGCAAAAACAGCCTGTTTTGAACTCATTTTGTCATTTTTCCCAACTCATTTACATATTAATCCTATGGCAGTTTAGCCCCACCCACTCACACAGGAGCTATAAGGAGTGTATGAATTAAGATTACATGTCATGTGGATACGAACCAGGGGTCACCATGACTACAACACATATATAGACATTTTATTTACTATCCAGAACCACCAGTGAACCTACACGAGTCTTCTGAGTTTATATGGAATGTTGATGATGGAAAATAGTGGAAAATCTGAAATAATAAGTTTTTTTTGGGGACTATTTTGCCTCACAGCGCCCTGCATGTATCCCTCCACCATGAATGGAGTTTAAGTTCTCTAAACTATCATAAAACAGTGTCTCAGTCATCAGGCAGTGAATTCATAACCATTTCATGTAGGAACTTTCTGTGAGGGAGCTTTTAGAGGTGGACGTCTGGTTCCTATCACCACCACTGTGAACAGTTCTCGGTAAGTTTATCTAGAACAGAGCGTTTCACACCAAACCGCTCTGAACCACTCTGATTACATATTAACAGATTAATTATGCAGAAATAAAAAAAAAATCAGTGGAGTTCCCCTTTAAAGATGAAACTCTTTGCCTGTGAGATGAAGCTGAGGTTGAGAAATATTGTGTTGGTGACTGGATCGCTGGTTAAGATGGTTGGGACACTGCTTTTTGGGTAAATCTGACAGTGTTCAGCCTTCACTTGTCTCTTGACCTGGTTCTCATGCAAGCATAAAAAGACTTACCACACAAGCAGGACATGAACTCCTTTGTGGTCACTCTTCTCTCTCGCTCTTACTCTTTCTTGCCATTAAGCACTTTCTGCAGCTACACTGTGGCGTCTTTTTCCATCCACTGTTTCACACTGCATTGTACCTTTCTGTCTCTCACAATTCAACTATCCAGTCAAACATGGGGTTCATCGACTTCAGGCCTTGAGTGTTTGAGGAGATCAGAACACGAAACACCACTTTCATCACCGACTGCAGAGGTTCTCGACTGCTTTCACGTTCCAAACTGTTAAGAAGAGCTATTTTGTCCTTTCAACAAAAATCAGTCCATCCTTGGAGCCACAACATTTTATGTCCATTTTACCATCTTGACTGTAAATATGTCTCAGTATGTGCTGATGTGCTGATATAGACTAAAAATATAAACAAAAACACAGACTTACTTTGCTCTGCTTTAAGTTTTAGATCAGCTATAGTCACTTTTCTCGCATCTCCAACAGGAAACTTTTCCACAAAAAAGTTTCCTGTAAAATGTCTCTCAACGTTCGCCTTTACGAGGCTGAAGTCGTTTTCTGGTTCAAATTTTCCCGTTCCACCTTAAATGGCGCCTTAGTGCCAGAATGTAACTGTTGCACCATTTAAGGTGGAACAGGAAAAATTGAACAAGAAGCTGGTGAACGAGAAGCGACTTCAGCTTTGCAAGGTTTTAGTGTCACTGCAGGTTAAACGTATCAGGAAACCAGCTGGAGTGATTATAAACATTAATAAGTCCATTCGTCTCTAAATTATCGATGTTCGTCTTAAATCTCTCTCTTTGTCGTTTCGTTAGCTACTAGATAGGCGAGACTGTAGTCTGTGTTGCTATGGTGACCAGCAGTCTGCGCTGATCTTCAGGGTTAAAGGGTGAATTAGCAGTTCTACATTAACTCCAGAGTTTAAGACCATTTATTGTTAAACTGTGTTGAACGATCAGCAGAGCTTTATTTTACTGTAAAGGAGGATTATTTTATTTTTACCTACAAATCAGATTCAGCTGTGGAGCCACAACAGGACAGTGAAAGAGCCGCATGCAGCTCTGGAGCCACATGTTGCCGACCACTGACCTAAATAACGTTACCTAGATTTTCAAAAATAGCTGTTCCGTCCCGACTTTGTTTCCAACTCATTAACAGCTAGTTGTATCTTATAAACAGTGTGTTAAGCCACAGTGTGGTGAGTATTGTATTTGTGTTTACAGTCAGTGGTGACCCTGAGTCTGTCCTACATGGTGGGAACTGTGGCCTCTTTCCATAACACCGATGCTGTCATCATCGCTATGGGCGCTACACTTGTCATCTCCTTCACCATCATCATCTTTTCCGCTCAGGTAAGATCTAACGCTGCAAATACAATTATTTCTGTAACTGATGATTGTAATCTATCAGAGTGACTGTGTGGATCATATGAACATTATAGAGCACTTTTTAAATGAAACAGTAGAAGCCATATCGCCCCCTACACTTCCTGTAGTGTATTACAGTCTGTCAGAGTGACTGTGTGGATCATATGAACATTAGTGGTCCTTTAGAAGTTTGGGAATACCCTGTCTTCTTTCGCAATTTTTGAGAGTTTGCTTTTGGTTTTGTTTTCAATTAAGTAAGAAAAAAACAGCTATTTACAAAAAGGATATATTTGGAGAATATAATTTTCTTACAACACAGTCTTTTTCAAACTACTGTTAAAAGCATGTATTGTAGTACTATCACTAATACCATCACAAATAGTTACGTGTTCTTCAAAACAAATCTGCTTATTATTGGTAAGAAAACATGCTGATTTGTATTGAAACATTTCAAAGAGGTGTATCTAATCTCAGTCTACATATGGAGAACTGTAACTCTCAGTGATTTTGTCTTCTCGTTGGCTTTGCTACATTTCAGACTCGCGTGGACTTCACCATATGCAATGGCATCCTTACCGTCCTGGCAGTGGACCTGCTCATGTTTGGATTCTTCACCATATTTTTCTACAACAGTGTCGTGCAGGTTGTGTATGGATGTCTTGGAGCTCTGCTTTATTCACTGGTAAGTCAGCTGATCTAATTATGCACTACAGCAATACAGGACCACTTTCATTTGTCATCAGATTTCCAGGCGTAAAGAAGGGTGTTCCTCAAGGTTCCACTGTGGGACCATTTCTTTTTCCCAGTATAGTGTTTTTCACAGTGACTCAGTGGCTCTTATAATGAATACAATGTGCTGGTCAGTCCTGCTAACAGACTTTGAACGCAGTTGACTTTCAGAAGGACTGAGAAAAGGGCCTCATGATGAAGTGAAGAACTAGGTTGAGACACTTTGTAATCTTGTGTGAAGAGAAGTTTGAGAAATCAGTGTGTTGTATGCGTGGGGAAGGAAGTGCAGGGTAAAGTTGGGAAAAGCTGGAAACAGGCGTTGCGCAACAGGACGTTACCTCATATTATAACAGGCTGAAAAGGCCACAAATCGGGGTGCATTTCCCGAAAGTGTTGTCGAAGTTAGAGAGACCATCATTTAGAAAACTCTCCACGGTTACCACAGTGGTTGCTCAACAACGCTTTCAGGGAACAGTCTAGGCTGGGTAGTACCAGAACATACAGTTGCCCCTCGTCAAATGACGTTTTGTTGATTTTCTAAGTGGAAGTAAGTTAACAAATCTTAGAAACTTAGAAAATAAACAGAAATTGTGCCTGAAAATGCCATGTTTAACTTTGCAAGTTAAATTCCAGTCACAATACTGATGTTTTCCCCAAATCGTTCAGCTGTACGTGGAGGAGCTGAAACAGGGTGGATGGAACAATGCAGTGAGGTCTGTTATGAGACTGGGATCCTGTTTAGATCTTACTGTCTCTCTCTCTCTCTTTGTGCTGCAGTTTCTGGCTGTGGACTGTCAGCTGGTGATGGGTCGTGAGAAGTACAGCCTGAGTCCTGAGGAATACGTCTTTGCAGCCTTAGTCATCTACCTGGACATCATCATGATCTTCCTCTACATCCTCATGATTCTTGGTGGAAGCTCAAAAAACTAGCTCAAACATGAGTACAAAATATAGACATTTCCTCGTCTGTTTTCAGACAATTCAGGACGGACTGCTGAGTTTTCCGTCTTCTCAAACTTCTCAGGAATCTCTCTTATCTATCTATCTTGCTTTTAGCTAGTTCTGTATATTAAAAAAGATAGTCGTCGAAGACAGAAATAGAGTTGGTGCTGTTGCTATCTTTCCTATGCGTGTACAACACATCTTTTAAATAAATGTTATATTACACGATTATGTAAATTAGGATACAGTGTAAACAAATTCTCTTCTTGTAAATTAAACTGAATATTTAGTATTGTTTTGGTTTATTTAGAGCCTTTTACAATGACTGTAGAAAAAGTGGACTACTGAGAAAGCTCTTGTTTTCCAGTCATATTTCCCGGACAGAAGGGTGTACCTCAAGGGTTGATTTTAGGGCCGTTTCTGTTTTCTTTAAAGTGTCGTTCAACTGAAAAAGAGGACATTACAATGCCATCCATTCATAATTGCACAGTACTACTGTCTGTGCTGCTTTAATGTAGTACTTTAGCACTGTTACCTTTTATTTAACTGAGTCTTCTCTTCTATTGAATAGGTACAGAGCGATAAATGTGACTGATTAATTGTTGACCTCCTTTTTTATGTTCTATTGTACCTTAATTTCAAAACTTAGTCCACATTATCAATTTCTGTATCAGGCACAGTCCTGGGCAACACCCAAATAAATGAATGTGATGTTTAGTCTGCTGTAAAAATGTGAGGTTATTTCTTATTTATGATTATGAGCTGCCTGGATTCCTAACAAGAACAGTGATATATAATATTATTATTATTATTATTATTATTATTATTATTAATAATTTATTTATTCCTGAAGTGAAAATACAAGGGAAAAAATGGATTGTAAAACCAGCAAGAACTGCACATGCACTTCTGCTTATGTCTGATCAATAAATATTTTCTCAAGTATTTTTGGTGTTTTTAATTCGTAGATTTACTCTGATGACAGAACCGAAATCCGAAATGTAGAAAACTTAAAGCAAGAAAGACACGTTCAAATATGACAATGTTTATGTGTAACTATGATGTTTTCAAAGGGTTTAATATACAGTTACAAAACTAACTCACAAACATGCAATAACAAACCTGAAAAAGTGAAAGTAAAAAAAGTAGCATTAACATGACCAAAAGCAGATCACAATGTGTCCAAAGGTCCAACTACTGATACCACAATACGGAGTCTGTCAGAATTCATCCCACTCTACATTCAAGAGTCAGTACAATTATTTAGAGGAGAAACAGGCCAGTCCTTCATCCTTCATCCGCGTTTCTGCAAAGCTAGGCCAACTAACCTCACCACAGCGAGGAGTAGTTGAAGCGGACTCTGAGCAGGTATCTCATGCGGGTTTGAGCTGGATTGTACACCACAAACTCGTTATAGAGGAGCGAGTATCCTCCACCCTGACCCACGCCAGTCTTTACACCAGGACCCATGGGCACGGTGGCACCATCCCTAAAGAACAAGAGAGAAAGAGGAAAGAAAGACAGGAGAAAGAGTGATAGGATCTCATTATTGTCCCTTTAACCCAGGGGTCGGCAACGTGCGGCTCTTTTACTGCCCTGTTGCTCCACAGCTGAATCAGATTAGTAGGTAAAAATAAAATAATCCTCCTTTACAGTAAAATAAAGCTCTGATGATCGTTCAACACAGTTTAACAGTAAATGGTCTTAAACTCTGGAGTTAATGTAGAACTGCTGATTCACCCTTTAACCCTGAAGATCAGCGCAGACTGCTGGTCACCATAGCAACACAGACAACAGTCTCGCCTAGTTAGTAGCTAACGAAACGACAAAGAGAGAGATTTAAGATTTGGATTTTTAGATTTGGAGATGAATGGACTTTTTGAATTTATAATCACTCCAGCTGGATTCCTGATACGTTTAATCTGCAGTGACACTAAAACCTTGCAAAGCTGAAGTCGCTTCTCGTTCACCAGCTTCTTGTTCAATTTTTCCTGTTCCACCTTAAATGGTGCAACAGTTACATTCCGGCACTAAGGCGCCATTTAAGGTGGAACGGGAAAATGTGAACAAGAAGCGACTTCAGCCTCGTAAAGGCGAACGTTGAGAGACGTTTTACAGGAAACTTTTTTGTGGAAAATATTTAACTTCCAACGGGAAACTGACAAACATTAAAAAGTCGCCTCTCTGCCACATGGTTTTAAAAGCTGGATTCCATGTCCTGTAGATCCCTTAACATTAAGATATTTCAGCAATTCATTCTGAAGGTAACATAATTAATGCTGCAAATGTAAACACGTCAATAACCTACTGGATTATTAACGAAGTAAACAAAATTAATTTAATTTCACGGCACTACTAATTTTACTTTAAAGATTAATGTAAATAAATATCTATTTGTCGTTAAAGTTAAAATATTTTAGTTGTATGACAGCTTTAAAAATACGTCACGCTCCTTTTCTCTGTTAAAAAACACACAGCAGCATCACCACAGCAGCGTGATTCTCACAGCGGTGTATCAGGGGCTGATTTAAACCTTCATACGCTGAGCAGTCTCTCTCTTCAGCTGTCACCAAGCTGTGATTTCTGAGGGTTAATCCTATTCATTAGCTGATTAAAGGCAAAAAACCAGGTTTACCCTAAAACAGGGTTTCTCAACCAGTGGGCCGTGAAGCACCCTCTAGTGGTCCGTGGGCCTGAACTCAGGGGGAGGCAGTAGTTCGCAGTGGGCCGGTAGCAACATATAAATGAAAACACCGCAGTCACAGGCTAATTAGACGTCATCAGCCTGAGACGACGCAGCTGACAAGAAGCAGATATCGAGTAAGGTTTATCATTATTGAAGATTTTGGCGACGGTTGTCCAGAAGCCCCCTGACCTTAGTGAGGTTTACTTCAAATTAGGCACCAAAAGCCTCAAACCTAAAGAGAGATCTTGACACCGAACAGTTCCTGGGAGCCACAAGAGTATTTTGAGTGAAAACGCGATTGACTGCAGCTCCAAATCACGGTCCACGTCTACATCCACATTTTTAAACGTTCTTCAACACAACGGCAAATTTTGGTTTCTGTGACTGAACTGAAATGGACGATCTGATCTTTTGCAGGCCGTAATTCAGAGGTTTTCAGTGCGAGCAATTAAGACGAAAAAAAATTTTTAGTTGATTTTAGTTTTTCTGTGGGCCGCAATGCTTTATAGTTATACACACCTGGGGTGAAAAAGGTTGAGAACCCCTGCCCTAAAACACTTACAATGTGACGAAGTTCTTGGGGTCAGGAGCGGTCTGTCCGAGGCCTTTGGTGCTGTGCTTCCCAGAAGGCAGTTTGTCAGCATCATAATTAGCATCCAATAATTCATTACAATCACCAAGAGCGACCTGTGGGCAGAGGAAACACTTTAACCAAGTTTTTTGTTGAGACTGCCTTTATTTTTCCTCATTGTTTGGGATCCTAAAGACCCGAATGCTGTGTCAACAAATAATAATGATTTAAATAAAATAATATTTTCCCCACTGAAATGATCTGCAGTCTTTCTTTTGACCTGGACAGAAAATTACCAAACGTTAACTTTCCTTTTTGGAGGTTCGCACATTTCAGAAAGGTGACAAAATCTATAAACACCATAAATGTCATTATTATTATTGTTGTTACTATTATTATTATCACAAGTAATGAATAGTAATTTCTATGTTTTATATATAGTATAATACAGTATGTATATGTGCAAAAGTTAGAGACCACCATTCATTTCCAGTCAAAACTGGTCATAAAGATCAAGTTATTCATTCATACTACATACATATTATTCAGCATCAGGAAAAAAACGGACAACCCATTTAGAGATAAGGGAACAAAACAGATGCCTTAACAACTAAATACAACATAAAACCTTTCAGTATTTAGTGTGTCCACTCACCTCACTCAGCAAGAGCAGCCCAATGTTGTTCTTCTGATTGGTGAAGCAGTAATTGGCACTTTTAGATGACATGTCAGCAAAATAAATGCCCTTACCGAACTAGAGAGAAGAGCAAATTACACAAATTACCATAATGAAACCATTAATATGAAGTATACCAGTGGTGCTGCGGGTATAGGGAGGGGACGCTGTTGGGTAACACGGGTACGGGGAGGGGACGCTGTTGGGTAACACGGGTACGGGAAGGGGATGTTGTTGGGTAACGTGGGCATGGGAAGGGGACGTTGTTGGGTAACGCAGGTACTGGGAGGGGACGTTGTTGGGTGGCGCGGGTACGGGAAGGGGACGTTGTTGGGTAACGCAGGTACTGGGAGGGGACGTTGTTGGGTGGCGCGGGTACGGGAAGGGGACGTTGTTGGGTAACGCGGGTACGGGAAGGGGACATTGTTGGGTGGCGCGGGTACGGGAAGGGGACGTTGTTGGGTGGCGCGGGTACGGGAAGGGGACATTGTTGGGTGGCGCGGGTACGGGAAGGGGACGTTGTTGGGTGGCGCGGGTACGGGAAGGGGACGTTGTTGGGTGGCGCGGGTACGGGAAGGGGACGTTGTTGGGTGGCGTGGGTACGGGGAGAGGACGTTGTTGGGTGACGCGGGTACAGGGAGGGGACGTTGTTGGGTGACGCGGGTACGGGAAGGGGACGTTGTTGGGTGGCGTGGGTACGGGGAGAGGACGTTGTTGGGTGACGCGGGTACGGGAAGGGGACGTTGTTGGGTGACGCGAGTACGGGAAGGGGACGTTGTTGGGTGACGCGGGTATGGGAAGGGGACGTTGTTGGGTGACATAGGTATGGGGAGAGGACAGTGTTGGGTAATGCAGGTATGGGGAGAGGACAGTGTTGGGTAATGCAGGTATGGGGAGGGGACGGTGTTGGGTAATGCAGGTATGGGGAGGGGACGGTGTTGGGTAATGCAGGTATGGGGAGGGGACGATGTTGGGTAATGCAGGTATGGGGAGGGGACGGTGTTGGGTAATGCAGGTATGGGGAGGGGACGGTGTTGGGTAATGCAGGTATGGGGAGGGGACGGTGTTGGGTAATGCAGGTATGGGGAGGGGACGATGTTGGGTAATGCAGGTATGGGGAGGGGACGATGTTGGGTAATGCAGGTATGGGGAGGGGACGGTGTTGGGTAATGCAGGTATGGGGAGGGGACGGTGTTGAATAAATCAGGCATGGGGAAGGGACACTGTTGGGGTATGGACAGTTGGGGTATAATGCTGGTATGGGGTGAGTACAGGGTTGAATCATGGCGATGGTGTGGGGGTGGTGTTAAGTGCGGTGATGGGCTGGCGATGGTGCTGGGTAATGGGTGCTAGAGTGCTAGAGATGTTGGGAAGGTTGGGGAGGAGACTGAATTTCATCTATTCCATATTCCACCCTGTAGTACAGAGTTCTTCTGCCTGACCTGACAAGGTCCCACAAAATACTGGGTTTTAAGGCTGGACTCGGATCTTGCTCCCGATGGGCTTTGCACAAGTGTATTTATGATGGGTTTAGTATGTCTCTCACTATGCAGCCATTTTTTCTGCCTGTCTTTTTATTATTTTTTCTCTTTTATTTGTGCACTTTGAGTTGCCTTTGTGCATGAAAGGTACTATATAAATGAACTTGAACTCACCATGTAGCCGGTGACAGGTGCCTCAGGAGGGGCCACTCGAAGACCCTGACTCAGGATTCCCACCCAGTTAGAGAGACGAGATCCATGCCACAACAAAGTCCTTAAATTAACACACACAACACTTACTACTAATACTTAGGCCTGCACAATATAAAATTATACTGCTAAATGCTGCAACTGTTATAAGCCTTGAAATATATTAATATATTAATACTATTAATGTGTGAAATTTTAACTGCCCCATGTTCTCTGAGCACAAATCTGGAAAAAATTTCAAATCAAAATCATATGGCTAAAAAAAATTATTTTTAATCACTATCAGTAAATACAGTTGTTTTAAAGATTTAATCATTCGCTCACTTACATATTAAATTTAATTGCTAAACATGCAGATTAATGATTGTCCTACAGAATTTTGAGCAAAATACTTGGCTTTTGTTGGCTTAGACGGTTTTGCAAAGAGCCAATTAAGTTAACATTACATGAAGGCCCAATCCCATTTCACCCCTCGCACCAACCACTCAGCCCTACCCCTCTGTTTTGCATGTTCACGTCTAGGGTTAGGTTTTCCCAAGTCTTGTTGAGACAGAGGGGGAGGGTGAAGTGTTAGAGCTACATGACCCTCCAAACAGAGGTTTTTCAGAGACTCCAAACAGAGAGATAGGAGAAAAACAGAAAAACCAGGAAAAGATGGAGAACAAGAGACCAAAGAAACACACAAATGTGAGAATTTTCTCCTTTAAAAACTAATGATAACCACTGTATTACCTTAGTCTATTAGTTTATTATCTGTCTTTCTATGCATTATGGTCCTTTTCTTCATAACAAGCATAAAAAATCGCTAATAGTATGCTAATGTCTCAGTAGCTAGCTATCTAACTTTCCCGTTCCACCTTATATAGTCCAGCAGTTCTGATGCCTGAAGCACCAGAATGTAACTGCTGCACCATTTAAGGTGGAACGCAAAAATTCAAACAACAATCTGGTGAATATCTGACTTCAGCTTCATGTCACTGAAGAATTAGCGGTGGGTGATAATAAATAATTGCCCCCTCTTTGAAGATCATATGATCCCTAAATGTAACTAAAGCCCAGCAGTGAGGAGCTGAACTTTACCCTCCTCTGCTGTCACTGCAGACTGGCAGGGTCTCCTACAGAGCAGCGCTGGTAGCTGTTAATGAAGTGATGCTCTTTTTATTTGAGGGTCCCATTTCAGAGGGAAGATTTCAACCACTACCCTGTAACTCAGTCCCAAGGGGTTAGGGTGACACTCGAAAACAAGGGGTAGGGGTAAAAAGAAGAAATGGGACTGGGCCGAAATGTTCATTTAGATGCTCACAAATATCGATGTAGTGCCACCCAAAGAGCAGCAACAGCAGCCAACACTACATTACACCACACAAATAAACCGAACTAAAATCCATGGCTTTGAGTAAGGAAGTCTGAAAATTCATATCTGAACCCACGCTTAAGTACCTGTTGTGCAGCTGAGAGAGAAAATGATCTTTCTCTCCTTCTCTGTCCACTGAGAAAACGTCCAGGACGGTCATGGTGTAGTCACTGTGGGTGGGAGCGTGAGTGGACTGAAGATACTTCTCAATCACCTAACAAGTGAGAAACAACACAGAGTTTAAATGGGTGAGACATACATCCTGTTTACAACACTCAACTCTGCTCTGCCCATTTGTTTCTACAGAACACAGCGTGAGCTCTTTTATACAGCTAGTCAGTTTTTTTAACAGAAGTATACATTTGTACATAAACTCCTCCTTACGGCGCACACGCCTTTCAACATTCTGTTCAGGCAACTTTCAAAGCAGCTTATTATAGGAGGCTAAAGCGGACGAGGTGGGAGCTCGAAACTCAAAAACACGACCTTAGGAGTTTGCAATATGGCAAAATATGATACTTTCAAGACATTTTTACAATGCACGATATGCATCACAATTATTAGTTTTTCTGAGATTTAGTAAGTTGGAACAGGCAACATAAAACCTGTAGTGCCACACATAACATAATAATAATAATAATAAACAACTGCAGTGACTTTTATTCAATGTTTTACAACCTGCACTGCACTAAATCCAACTAAACAGCCCTAATTCTGCTCATTTTGTGATGAAACATGAAGTTAGTGTTCTTTAAGTATCATCAATATCCACGATATGCTCAGAAAAGCATGCTTTGACATAATTTAATTTACTTAATATAATTTAAATTTGAGAATTTCCCCACTATGGGACTATTTTATCTTATCTTAATTTATTGCGATAATGTTAAAATATCATCACTTTCTCCACTCCTACTGCACCTCATTTACTACAGCAGCCTACTGCTGTACTTTGTTGCTAAAAAAACCTCATAATTAGTCCAGCCAAGTGCATATCATGTTAATTTCATTCTGTAACATACTGCACTTTGTCTCTTTGTCTTAATTTTTAACTTTTAATGTTGTCTTTTTTTATGTAAAGCACCTTGAATTGCCTTTCTGTATGAAATGTGCTATATAAATTTTTTTTTTACTTTATTTTTCTCTTAGTGAGGCCCTTATTTTCTATGGAACATTTTCTATAACAGTTTTGTAGAATTTATAGAAAAAGCTGTTGAGGTAATGCTGACTGTTTTTCAGCCTTTCAGTGCAAAAAAATGTGCTCTCAGTTCTGACGTAAGTAGTTGTTGGTATTTCATTTCTTTTTATTTTACAGAATAGTAAACAGTGTCTGTGTTTACATGCAAACATTTATCCCAATCCGATTAAATACATTCTGATTATCGATTAAGACTGAGGTGTTTATATCTCACTCTACACAACAATCTGACAACATGCTCACTACAGGTAATCAGATCCAAAATGACGCGCATGCGTGGAGGAGCACTTAGAGTAAACGTTACCATGACAGTGAACATCACGTGAGTCCATGAGATGAGTTTTCAGTTGGCGCGCTTGTGTTTAAATTAAAAATATGTCGGATTCAGACACATCGTGTTCTGAGACACATAAGCTGGACGTCCGTCCCACCGCCGTCTTTTAAAGATCAGAGCATAAACTTCGTCTCCTCTGCAGACCAGTTTCTGCTCCGCCATTTTGAACGGTATAAACTCTCACTATGACGCGACGAACAAGATCGGAACGGACTCAAACTTTCCGATAGGGAATGTAATCAGATACAGGCGTTTACACGGATATTATTCTTCTATTTAACGGATTATTTACAGGATTACCCACCTCGATCAGTCGGATAGAAACTGTATTCAGAATGGCCTCAATCAGACTAGACTATTCAGATTGAGGTGTTTACATGGACGTATTCTGTTCTGGTTGAGCTATTAGTCGGATTATTAATGGATTATTAGGCTGCACGTAAACGTGGCTACTGCTTTTGTATTTTTGTATATTGCTGCTTGTTTAAAGAGGCTTTAAAGAGAGGCTAGTTAGATTTCTGTTTACACATCCCAAAAAAATGTGTGCACTTGCATTACATCCTGCCAGATTCATTATTTTAATAGTAACGCATCACTTCTCATATCGCCATCGTGATATCTGACCGCTTTGTTGAATATCGTATTTTGTCGACATTGTGCAGCCCGATGGAAGTGATACCAAAAACAGTACCAGGTATGAGGTTTGCCTTACAGGACAACAAAAAAGCCGGTACCATGCAGTGGAAACGTGGCGTAGGTGCAGTAGCTCATTACTACAGCAGTGTATATAATAAAGGTGTTGTTTCTCATTAATAAGGACATCAGTGCGTCTCCTTCTAGCTGTGTGTACCTGGAACTCGTGGCTGTCGGAGACCAGAGGCTGCAGCTCACACTTCAGAGAGCGATACTGCCTGTCCAGAGGATGCTCATCACCATGGCAACTCGACTGCACCATCTTCACTGCTATCTGGATATCACTCAGAGCCTGGGAGAGGGAGAGAGAGAGGGAGAGGGAGAGAGAGAGAGAGAGAGAAAGAAAGAGAGAGAGAGAGAAAGAAAGAGAGATGTACATTGTTCTACAACCCCATTTCCAAAAAAAGTTGGGACGCTGTGCAAAATGCAAATGATGTGCAAATCATTTAAACCCTACATTTACAGTTATCAATGGTGACAGGTCTGGACTGCAGGCAGGTCAGTTCAGCGCCCGGACTCTTTTAATACCGAGCAATGCTGCTGTAATACATGCAGAATGTGGTTTTACATCGTCTTGCTGAAATAATCAAGGCCTTCCCTGAAAAAGACGTCGTCTGGATGGCAGCATATGTTGCTCTAAAACCTGTATAGATCAATCAGCATTAATGGTGCCTTCACAGATGTGCACGTCACCCAGGCCATGTGCACTAATGCCCCCCTGTACCATCATGAATACTGGCTTTTGAACTGTGCACTGATAACAAGCTGAGTGCTCTTTAGCCCGGAGGACACAGTGTCCATGATTTCCAAAAAGAATTTCAAATGTTGATTCGTCAGACCACAGGACACTTTTCCACTTCCCCTCAGTCCATTTTAAATGAGCTCAGGCCCAGAGAAGGTGGCAGCATTTCTGGATCCTGTTTATAAACGGTTTCATTTTTGCGTTTTAGAGTTTTAACTTGCATTTGTGGATGCAGTGATGAACTGTTTTCACAGTGGTTTTCAGAAGTGTTTCTGAGCCCATGCAGTGATTTCCACTACAGAATCATGTCTGTTTTTAATGCAGTGCTGTCTGAGGGCCCAAAGATCACGGCCAGCAAATACTGGTTTTTGGCCTTGACCCTTACATACAGAGATTTCTCCAGATTCTCTGAATCTTTTAATGTTATTTTGTACCGTAGATGATGAACAGCAGAAGTTTTTTGCTGTTTTAAGTTGAGAAACGTTATTCTTGAATTGTTGCACTATTTGATGGTGCAGTCTTTCACAGAGTGGTGAACCCCTCCTCATCTTTACTTCTGAAAGACTCCGCCTCTCTGAGATGCTCTTTTATACCCAATCATGTTACTGACCTGTTGCCAATCAACCAGCAGGTGTTTTTTAGCATAACACAACTTTACCAGCCTTTTGTTCCCCCAAACAAAATTCAAAATGGGCAAATATTTTTCAACAGACAATAAATATTGCTTAGTTTTAGCATTTGATAGGTTGTCTTTGTACTATTTTCAATTAAATATAGGGTTTAAATGATTTGCACATCATTACATTTTGTTTTTATTTACATTTTGCACAGCGTCCCAACTTTTTTGGAAATGGGGTTGTATATTCAAAATGACAACACAACATGAGCCATCAGCACAACTAACATAACTCATTCATAATATCAATATAATAAAGGTTTTCTATGTTTAGCTTCTATTTCTGACTCTGTTACCTCTAGCAGTGCAATTTTCTCCTTCAGCTCCTCCTCCGTGCGGATAAGAGGGGGCGTCCGCAAACTAGAGAGCATATTAGAGATTTCAGTTATTATTCTAAAGTCTTATTATTCAGTAACTACCATGAATTATTTAGCATCTACTCCTGATAACCGACCATCAACAGTCAACCATTAACTGTTAACTGACGAGAACACGACCCATCAAAATACCAATTATAAAACAGATGAATTCTGATTTACTGAGCTGCATTGAAGTTCATTAAGAAAACTTGATGAAACACACTTATGACTGCACCCGTTAACTCTGTATTAATGCACTGAGATATTATATGCATTTTTCCACTCATTACTAGCGGAAGTTAAAAGACACATAAACACCATAACTGGGGCACCTTTGACACCTTTGAACCTCAGTCTCTCTCAAAAGCCGTAAGCGTTTACCACGTCTCGCTCTCTGTAACTCTGCACAGCCATGTGTGATTTCCTCACACCGCCTGCGTCACTCTGTCTCTCCGAGAACATGAACTTCGTCTGTCTTTTTGTTTGTGAATGTTTGCTTTTGATGTGGTTCATCGTTGTTGTTGTTGTCCTGTTGAAAACTGCTACCCAACACCACTGATTTCAGCCGTGCTGCACTGTTAGTCGCCTATCTGTGAATTACACAGTATTTGCTATGGATTATTCACTGTCTACAATGACTTTTTCAATGTCTACTATGAATTATTTCGTAATTATTATTAATTATCCAGTATGTACTAGGAATCATGCAATAAATACTATGAATTACTTAGCGTCTACTAGGAATTATTCAATAACTACTAAGAATTATTCAGTAACTACTATGAATTATTAATTATTATAATTTTTCAATATCTACCATAAATTATTCAGTAACTACTATTAATTATTTAGTATCTAAGAATTATTTAGTAATTACTATGAATTACTCAGTAATTATCATTTTTCAATATCTACCATAAATTATGAATGATTCAGTAACTACTATGAATTACTCAGTAATTATAATTTGTCAATGTCTACTATAAATTATTTAGTATGTACTATGAATTATTTAGTAACTACTATGAATTATTGAGTATCTAAGAATTATTTAGTAACTAATATGAATTACTCAATAATTATTATAATTTTTCAATATGTACCATAAATTACTGAGTACCTACTATGAATTATTCAGTAACTACTATGAATTATTCGGTAACTACTAAGAATTACTCAGTAATTATTATAAACTTTTCAATATCTACCATAAATTATTTAGTACCTACTATGAATTATTCAGTAACTACTATGCATTATTCAGTAACTATTATCAATTTTTCAAGGTCTACCATAAATTACTGAGTACCTATTATGAATTATTCAGTAACTACTATGAATTATTTAATATCTATGAATTACTCAGCAACTACTGTGACTCTAATGTGTAAGTCCTGAGTGTGATGAATTGAAGTGTGGACCCACAGACAGACCCTTAACTGTTTGTAAATAATGTGTGTACTGATTACTGCGTGTACCCGAAGTCGTGGGGGATTCGAGTGTAAAACTGGTTGCAGGCCTCGAGGAGCTCCTTATTGCTGCCTTTCCTCTTCACGCACTCCTCAATCCTCTTCAGAGAGGCGTAACCTGCTCGGATCTGCTCTGTCGTCAGCTTCCCTGATAGAGACATTATAGACATTATATACAAGCTTAGCAGTTTACCTGAACAGTTCGTTAGTGCTGACGTAGCTAAAAACATATGTGCTTATTGATAGTTAGCACTGTTTTGCTGAACTGTCCCTTTATGCATTTTACAGCATCCTATCCTGAATATCTATCATACTGGCCTTTAAGAAAAATGGACATAAAAAAGGCTTTAATGTGGCTTCTGCGTCTGACATTCGTCCATGTTTAAAGATAACAATGCGTCATGCACTCTTAAAAATGATGGTTCTTGCTCCCGAGTGGCGCAACCGTCTAAGCGTTGTCCCTCATCAAGAGATCGTGAGTTCGTTCCCTGGTGATGCTGCAGCCGTCCGTAGCCGGGAGTCCAAGAGAGCACAATTGGCCTCGCTCTCTCTGGGTGGGTAGGATGGCCCCTCCCTCTCCCCCCATCACTCAGCGCGATGCTAGTCAGCGCAGGCGTCTGTTAGCTGACGTAGCAGATCTGGCGGTTGGCGCTTTCCTCCGAGCGCGTTCGGCTGTCCAGTGACGTTGCGTGAGCGGTAGTTCGAAAAGAAGCGGTGGCTGGTTTCACAGGTCTCGGAGGAAGCCTGTGTTAGCCTTCACCCTGCTAGCGTTGATAGCATTGTGTGATTGGGGGAGTCCTAACTAGCGGGTGGAATTGGAAACGACAAAATTGGGGAGATAATTGGGTAAAAGGATGGTTCTCTAAAAGTTCTTTAGTAAAGGCAATTGTTCTATTTAGAACCATGAGTTCTAAAGGTCCTTCTTGCTTAAGGAAGCATTTATTCAGACAAACTGGAGGTCTACAAATTTTCCTGTCACTTGATCTTATTCGCCAGCTTCTTTTTCGAAATTCCTTCTACGTATGAGGAGCCTGAATGTAACCGCTGCAACATTTACGGTGGAACAGAAAATCTGAATAAGAAGCTGCCGAATAAGATGCCAACTCCAGGTCAACTGTGTTTACTATTTAAGAGCTTAGGCAGTTTCGGGAGCTATGGTTATTATTTTTTTGTAAAATATCATGCATTGGAATGTTCTGAATTTGAGAGGTGTGCAGGCTATGCAGATCTACCACTGACTGTGTTTACATGGATAGAAACCGCCAATCTGATTAAATACACTCCGATTCTAGATTCAGACTGAGGTGTTTATATTCTCACTCTACACAACAACAATCTAATGGAAAATCTCCGTTTACATGCTCACTACAAGTAATCAGATCCACAATGACGCGCATGCGCAGAGAACCGCTTAGTGTAGACGTTGCCATGACAACCATGGTGAGTCCAGTCAGAGTGAGACGAGCAGCAGTGAGCAGTGCTTGTGTTTTTAATTCCTTTAAAATGATGTCAGACTCAGGAAAACGTCCTTCACATGTCCTTATTAAAGAAGGCCGAGAGGACGACGTCGTGTTCTGAGACACATAAGCTGGACGTTCGTCCCACCGCCGTCTTTTAGAGATCAGAGCATAAACTTCGTCTCCTCTGCAGACCAGTTTCTGCTCCGCCATGTTGAACGGTATAAACTTTCACTATGACGCGACGAACGTGATCAGAACGGACTTAAACTTTCCGATAGGGAATGTAATCAGATACGTATTAGTAACCCCATTTTAATCAGAGGACAGTCAGAGTTACAGCTCGCCTGCCAGAATGGGGGCGGGCATTTTTAAAGATGTAATCGAATACTACTACTACTTTTTTTTTTACATTCCATCTTAATCACACCCACAAAAACTGACCAAGAGGAGCCTTTTTGGTGTCGAACTTCATCTCGAGCACGCACTCCTCCATGGCTTTGATGTCACAGATTAGCTCCAGGAGAGACTGCACTTTGATGTCCAGCTGGGACGGCTTCTTCTGGACAGGAGTGGACACGGCAGCGGCATCTTCCTCCTACAAAAACAACACAAAACTGAAGTTAATTATTAAACAATGATTAATTCAATGCAGAAATTAATACTCAGTAAGGAAAAATGAGAAATTAGGAAATAATAGAAGATACATGTAAAAGGGTGAAACTGCAGGAAGAATCCTCACAGGGACCGGTAAGAGTTTTGTATTTATTCATTTCCCTGAGGTCCACTTATAATGTTTGTGTGGGTTTTATGTACCAAAAACAAGCATAGCACATGTTTACATGGACATCATCCAACGGTCTTCTGCCTCTGAATTAAACAGACCTTTTAGGCTACGTTCACACAGCAGGTAAAAGTGGCCCAAATCTGATTTTCTCAACAAATCAGAATTTTTTGTTTGTCTTTTCAGATTATCTTTTAAATGTGATCTGTATGCGACGTCAGTCTGAACAGATCAGCTCCTAAACTGACCCTCATGCACAAAAGAACAGAGCTTCACGCTGCTTCACGGCTCATCCAGAGGTAAACAATCACGACCGCCAATGAACGCCAGTCGCTCCCGGAGGATCAGCTTCATCTTCACCAGCATCACAGGAGCCACCGACTGACTGACAGCTGGACTCATCACCCAGAATGTGTTCGAGCCGTAAAAATGGCGCGGTCACTTCTTTGGTTCGCGTCCTCGGAGTCTTTAAACTTTGCTTTCAGACTGTTCTTTGACGCTGCAGCTTCGTTCTCCTGCAGCCGCGTTCGGACATTTCTTTAGAAATCTCTTCAAACACGGAGGAGTTGTGATGAGTCTCTTCTAATGTTTTGGTTCAGAATCATCAGCCTAAATGTTTCTGAGTCTCAGCAGCGCGAAAATGATGACAAATGTCGAGTTGGACTGACGTAAAAGTCACATGAATTCCGATCTGGCTGTTCAGACTGAGTTGAATTGGCGCAGATCAGATACGTATCAGATTTCAGTACCACATATGAAAGCGTCTCAAATTGGAATTGAAAATGTCAGATTCAGTGTGTTTATCTGTTCACACTGACACACAGACACACATCTGTGTCACACATGGAGAAAAAGAGCAGATTTGGGCCACTTTTACCTGCTGTGTGAACAAAGCCTTCGTTACTGTGCCTTTAAGACCGATCTGTTCTGATTGGCTGCACTCATTCAGTCCAGGCAGAAACACTCCTTATAACTTCAGTGTGAGTGGGCGGGGCTAATCTACGGTGGGCTGAATAAGAAGATATATGTAAATGTGATGGTTTGAGTGACATCACAAAAACAGGGAATTCCATACAGGCTGTTTTTGCAGCTCAGTTTTCATATATGAACTGTATGGACTGGAGAGTGAACAGTGCATTGTGAAACGTGAACAGTGTTTACACACTACATCAAACTTTTTCATTTAAAAAAAGTGAAGACGATATTTTCATGATACAAACTGTTAGAAATAAAGGTTCTGTTCAGGTACATTTTTCGTTCATTAAGGTACAAACAGTGTAAATGTTCCCTCAAAGCTCCAACAGTGGTTTTAGGGTCTGATTGTGAACCTTAAATAAGTTTTTCCAGGTGAAAAGTTCGTATTTGTACCTTTTCATAACCGAATGTTTTAAACAGAACAGTAAAATAAAAGCCTGGAGGCGAGACGGGGTGTGTGGAGTCAGTACAGCTTAGAACATATCATTTCAGTGGATTATGGTTCAGTTATGTTCCCTGACTGAAGGTACTGAGATGGACCCTTGAGGAAACCACCCCAGTGACCGTTTAGGACCTTTATTTTTGAGAGTGTGGGTCCATTAGTGAAAAAAATTTGTAAACAAAAATGGGTTAAATTTTTTTTCCGCTCTCTTACTTTGTCGTTGCTGCTGTAGTCCATGAACACCAGGTCATATTTTCCAGAAACTTTCTCAAAGTTTCCACGACCTTCCCACTCATTCTTGGTCTTATCAAAGAACCTGGGAAACAAAAAGGTCAAATGTAACGCCTATAATAGCACAAACACCAGCGTTTATGACCATCTACCCTTGAAGAAAACCTTTTAAAGGCGCTCACTTCTTCTTGAAGACGTCTTTGGCACGAGCGAGGTCGCCTCCGCAGGACACCAAACTGTTCTGTCCAACTTTTCCCACTGAGGAGAAGAACAACACTGTGTGTTAAAAGCCTCATATCCTCTATTTGTCTTGCATTTTATTTTTGTCCCTGAAGTTTGTGTGGATTCAACGTAACAAAATCAGTCATAATACATGTTTACATGTCCATTTTCCAACCTCTCTTCAGAATTAAACAGGCTGCTTTCATCACTGAGCCTTTAAGACTGACTTATGGGCCGATCGGCTGCTCTCTATTGTGTATCTTTTAAAAATCAGTCCAGAGTGAAACACTCCTATAACATCAGCGTGAGTGGGTGGATATATGTAAACGTGCTGGGTTTTATGACATCACAAAAACAATGAATTGAAAATGGGCTGATTTTGCAGTTTAGTTTCCATATATGTACTATATGGACTGAGGAGTAGATGGTATGTTTTGAAACTTTAACAATGGGTATAACAACTATATCAACCTCTTATTTTAAAAAATGTGACAACTTCCCCTGCAAAAGAAGCAGAAATGGCACTAACTTAGCGTGGTAGCTATCAGAGCTGGTCAGCCGTGGGTCCACGTTCTTACACTGGGTGTTCTGTTTTAACACGGTTTCAGACTTTTTACTTCATATACTCAGAGTGATTTTGGAGATCCATACATTCAAATAGCTACGCCCACACAGTCAGGTCTATTAGAGATGAACTAAAGGGCTGAACTCTCCTGCACCCACCTCTCCCCCACCGCATCCACACGCTGTAGGCTTTAGCGTTGTTGTCCTGGAGCAGCTGGATCAGGTAGTACTTGTTGTTGTTGAACTGGAGGTTCGTCTGGAACACAGCAGTGGACCTGTCTCAACTATTACATAATTTGCCTGATTACAATTATTTGAGATAATCCGTGTTTTTACAGTTAGTTTCTATACTGTTACTATACAGTTATTATAGTAACGCAACACGCAGAATGGGAAAACTATGCACTTTTGACTTTGATTAGATCAGTACAATTCTTTTTTAAAAATAAAAAACATGAGTCTTACAAAAACACAGCTCTGACCTTCAGATGGGTGTTATAGGTGATTGTTTTTGTTTTTGTTTGTTTGCCAGATAGCTAATGCTAATCTTTGCATGTATACATTAATCACTAATCACAATTATTTATATGACGATCGTCAGCTAAAATTTCACAGTCTTCACAGCCCCAGCAGAGGGAGTCTGAGCATATAAGTGAAATAATTATGCCATATTTCAATTACCTTGGGTTAGTTTCTGTAATTGGAAATGATATTCTAATGTAAAGCACAATAAAACTCAGAACTGGGTCAATAAAACCTCAAAACCTGTACCAGTTCTTCCTGCTGTAGTCGACCAACAAGCCAGAAAAATAAGTGTTTTTTGTTCTAGTCCTCCCTGCATGTTTAAAATCCCGACTGTTCCACACAATTTCAGTATCAGGGCTTTTCCAGAGCTTTTCTAGAGGACTGCAGCTTCAGTGCTGGAGGGATCAGTGACCCACTGCACCACCAATAGTTGGTGCCAATGCATGAATGTAAGTACAGCATGTATAACTGTGAGTTTGAGGAAGATTTCTAAGTGTTTCTAATTAGTACTTTATATTATATTATACTGTCGTGGTTTTCAACCTTTGGGCTGTCGTCCCCTAAAGGACCACAGTGGTACTGCTAGGAGGACACCGGCTCAGATGTTCTTTTTCATATATATATATATATATATATACATATATATATATGTATACACCGATCGGGCATAACATTATGAGCACCTCCTTGTTTCTACACTCACTGTCCATTTAATCAGCTCCATTTACTATATAGGTGCACTTTGTAGTTCTCATATCTTCTATGAGTGTCTAATAGAGTGGACAGTGAGTGGACAGCGCAACACACACTAACACACCACCACCACGTCAGTGTTACTGCAGTGCTGAGAATGATCCACCACCCAAATAGTACCTGCTCTGTGGGGGTCCATGGGGGTCCTGACCACTGAAGAACAGGGTAAAAGGGGGCTAACAAAGTATCAGAGAAACAGATGGACTACAGTCTGTAACTGTAGAACTACAAAGTGCACCTATATAGTAAGTGGAGCTGATAAAATGGACTATATATATATATATATATATATATATATATATATATATATATATATATAATTATATGTTATACGTTTAACCAAATATAATTCCAATTAAATAATTTTAAATATAGTAACCATTATTATTATGATAATTATTTGCAAAATAAAATATCATGTTTAGGTCAAGCTTGTTGAGTAAGAAAAAGTAAAGCGACCAAAAAAATAAATAAATAAAATTCATAGGTGAGAAAAATGATGGGGTATTATATTATATTATATTTTATTATATTAGTCATTGGTTTTTCAAGCTTCCCTCATTGTGTTACAGGTAGTTATTCATACTATATTCGATCTGCACATTCTTTCAGTCCTATATTTATTTATTTTTTCAGATATTACAGAAGTAAAGATGTAAACAATATAAATTTCCGGAAAAAACGCACACACTTAATACTCACCTGGTTCAGCATCACGTCATAGATGTCGTTGCCCTCACTGTAGACGAACGCCTGTGGAGGAAAGCGTGGGCCAAAGTCACGAACAGAATGACATTCTGTCTATCTAGCTCGAAGCTGCTGGCTTGGAAAATAAAAAGTGTCATGTGTCACGCTGATGTGGTCTGACTGCTACCTTTCCCTCTTTGGCCTTGCACTCTGAATCCACCGGGGCTTTCCCCTTCATCACCACCGTCTTCACCACCTCTGCAACAACAAACAGGAGGAATTACACAGTGTACAGTGCATGTGTACGCAAATCCTGGAACAAAGAAACGGAAAATAAGAGAGGGGGAGGAGTAGGTTTTTCCCTCGCTTTACGTTTTTTTTGCATCATCTCCGCAAAGGTTATTTTTCCATACTGATGTCTGATCATGAAAAATAACACCAACAACAATAAAAATAAACAAACAATAAAGGAATAAACTAATAAAAATAACTCTTTTCATCTGTTTTTTTATGGTGAGCAAACACTGAGTGCGTTTACATGCATTTAATAATCCGATAACTGCAGAAAATCAGATTTTGTCAGTAAATCAATGCGTTTATATGCACTTGAGTAATCAGATAATGGGGAAACTCTGGGTCTACATGAGTCAGACAATAATCAGATTTCTGCTTTACAACCAGCCAGTAAATTCACAGAAGAAGACGCGACGTAAACGTAACGTAAAACTCTTTTTTTTTTTAAACATCGAGTCACTTTGCCTGAAAATATGAACTTATATTATCTATAAGATGAAGAATATTTAAATCCTTTATTTCATATTTGGGTTCAGCGCCGCTCCAGCGTCGCTTATTTCCAGTGCCGCCGTCTGTTTTCGCACATGATCAGACTAAGAAATCAGAGTAAGTTTACATGCACTAAGAAATCTGATCACTGAGCTAAAATCCAGGCTCTTTATAGGAATTCTTAATCGGATTTCTAGATCAGAGTACAGTGTTTACATGACCAGTTGAATAAACAGATAACAGCAGAAATCTGATTACTGAGTGCATGTAAACGCACTCAGGGATTTGCTACTTTGTTTAAACAAATGTGACCAGAACTCTGATTCAGAAGCACCTGTGCAAGAACAGACTTTGATCTGAACAGCCCAGCGCTTCGTTAATAATTATTATTCACTGAAATGGTCATAATGGCCCTTATGAACACATAATTGTGTGTATTACCGTAAATCTCAGGGGAAACGTCACCTTTACTGGCTGTTTCCTCGCTGGGTTTGGCTTTGTCCTCTTTCTGGCTTTTCCCTCGTCCACGTCTCTTCTTCGCAGCAGGAGCCTCCTCTTCCTCTTCTTCCTCCTCTTTAATGGAAGCAGTGCTGGTCAGTTGTGACCCATCACCTCCGTTCATATCCTCTGTAAAGAGAGCCAGTGTGAGTGAGGGAGTGGTGTAAAAACGGACATTCGGAAGGCAGTGATTCATCTGCGTCAATTCTGGAACGTAACCACATATACAACAACAAACCACACGCTGAAGAAAAGATGGTTCTTCAAGGGTTCTTCAATAAAGAAAACGGTTCTATAAAGAACCATGAATACTCAAAGAACCCTATGCCTGATTTAAGTGTTCTTTGCAAGGTGAAATGGTTCTTCAGATGGATGGAGAATGTGCTGTAGATCGTTCTATATAGCACCAAAAAGGGTTTTCTGTTGTTACAATGGTGCTATATGGAACCCTTTTTAAAAACGTCCTATATAGAACCATCTACAGTACATTCTCCATCAATCTGAAGAACGCTTTCATGATGCAAATTACCCTTTAATCATGCAAAGGGTTCTTTGAGTGTTCATGGTTCTATACAGAAACATTTTCTTTACTAAAACACCCTTGAAGAACCATCTATAAGTGTGTAGTGCTGCATAACACTAGTAGAAATTTCTGTAGTATTACTACAGAACTTTTTTCCATAAGGAGTTATAACTGATTTAGTATTTATTTATTTGCGGAGTTTAACAAACCAGAAAAAAATAAACATGTAAATGTGCCATAACTGTGGCACAGGTCACATTTTACAGTTTATTTTCCTAATATTATTTGGGTTTTTTCTAACATGTAGGGATAAAAAGTAACCGTGCATTAAAATGTGCAAAAGTGTGTGTATTTGGAAAAAATATGTCCACACTACTATTTAACAGTTTACAAAAGCATTAACAATTTTTTTATATGTAATAATTATTTTATATGTAATAATATAATGTTGTTTATTGTCAAATAATAAATAATACACCGTAATGATCTATTTGCACTCATTTTTGTCAGGCTATCTGCCTTAATATCTCCACTTCTGAAATATGGTGGATTCTGGGCATTAATTTATTAGAAAACTGTAGAACATTCTTGATGTCCTACAGCTTCCTCATTCATTTTAGAAACTTCTACAGCTCTGTTCATCACTTTGGACACACGATTTTCTATTAAACAGTCCATTCTGATTCCTCTCCGCACAAACCTCCAGGCTTACCTGCCTTCACGGTGAGTGAGCGTATCTTCCTGCGGTATTTGGTCACCGAGTTAGTCTGCGTCATCTTCACGAGGTCCACCTCATATCCCGGGCCGACCTGCAGGGTCACTGAGCTCTCCCCGGCCCTGACCGCCGCGTCCAACTGGGCGCACACTGCGGACGAGTACGGCTCCCACTGTCCGTCATCTCCCTCCCACTGCCACACTGAGGAGAAAACAAACAGAAAACATCATCATCGGCAGCAAGACTGAATCCCACAACCAAGACTTTCAGCTTAAAGGGCTATTGCACCATATTTTTCAAAATTTCTGCTTAATCCAGTGTGTGGGATATAAACACAGTGACTCAGAGTGGTTTGATGTGAAATGGTTCAGATGCCTTTACAGTGGTGGTGATAGGAACCAGGGGTCGCCATGACTACAACACAGATATAGACATTTTATTTACTATCCAGAACCACCAGTGAACCTACACGAGTCTTCTGAGTTTATATGGAATGCTGATGATGGAAAATAGTGGAAAATCTGAAATAATAAGTTTTCTTTGGGGACTATTTTATCTATGCATGTATCCCTCCACCATGGATGGAGTTTAAGTTCTAAGTAAAGTTGAGTGGAGGCTTTTTAAACTCTTCAGACGTCTGGTTCCCATCACCACCACTGTGGACCGTTCTAAATCCGCTCTAAAAGTTCTTTAGAGTAGAGCATTTTACCTGAAACCACATCAGTTTGTTTACATCGCAGTGACTGAATTATGCGGAACTTTTGAAAAACAGGAGGAGTTCCCCTTTAATCATGAAATGGTTCTAGATATACGAGACTCGTGGTTCTAAGCAGACCCATTACCTATACTAAAGAACCGAGTTTTTAAAATGTGCAGCTAAATTTCTTATATTAATCCAGTGGAAACTGCTGCATGTTAATGTAACATTAGCATGATGCTAACTGGCGGGAATTAACTTGTATTACTTGTTAGCTACATTAGCCTCATTAGCCTCGTAGCTCCGGTGCTAAACTAACCGAATTATCGCTTCAACTTTAACCGCACTAACATATCCAGCTTTCCAGGCCACTTTCGGGGTGAAAACGGAGTGAAAATTAGTCTGTATCTCGAAGCTGAAATACGTTTTTCCTTATTCGCCACATTCTTATTCGAACTTTTCCGTTCCACCTTAAATGGCGCGGTAGTTGCATTCTGGCCTCTACAACGCCACAACATCTCTACAACTGCCGCACCACTTAAGGTGGAACGGGCAAATTAGAACACGAAGCTGGCGAACAGGCGTGACTGTTTGTTAACGTTACTTAGCTACCTGTTTGCGCTTGAGTGTCTGAATTTGATCCTGATTTCACTCGGGAGCTCCTGGTTCGACGCATCTCGTCATTAAAATGTGTATTAATTAATATTTTATTATTTTGTTCTTTGCTGGAGGAGTAAAACGACGCTAACTGCCGCCCTCGTGCATGAATATACAGCGGAACGACTTGCAGTCGGCTGCGTGTTTCTGCACGGGTTTATTTTGATGGTGGGGCTGGTGTGGGTCCATGTGACCGACAGGCGGACGCTGTAAATGTCTCCGTGCTGCAGATCGCTCAGACTTATTGAACAGATCTGTCTGTCACAGCCATGTCTGCTCTAAATCGGCTGTTTGGTGTTTGTTGGAGGCGCCGCGCTGCTTTTCCACCCAGAGACACGCAGAGGGTGAGTCTGAACACCACCTCACTCACTGTCCACTTTATCAGCTCCACTGACCACACAGTCTCACTCTGTAGCTCTACAGTTACAGACTGTAGTCCATCTGTTTCTCTGTTACCCTGTTCTTCAGTGGTCAGGACCCCCATGGACCCTCACAGAGCAGGTACTATTTGGGTGGTGGATCATTCTCAGCACTGCAGTAACACTGACGTGGTGGTGGTGTGTTAGTGTGTGTTGTGCTGGTCTGAGTGGATCAGACACAGCAGTGCTGCTGGAGTTTTTAAACACTGTGTTCACTCACTGTCCACTCTATTAGACACTCCTACCTTGTCGGTCCACCTTGTAGATGTAAAGCAAGCAAGCAAGCAAAGTTTATTTATATAGCGCTTTTTACAACAGGTGTTGTCACAAAGCAGCTTTACAGAAAAATCAGCATTACAGAAAGAAATCCGGGTCCGAGCCCTCGTGAGCGTCGCCAGTGGCAAGGAAAAACTCCCTAAGAGCAAGAGGAAGAAACCTTGAGAGGAACCAAGACTCAGAAGGGGAACCCATCCTCCTCTGATCGACACCGGATAGGAAACATTGTTAGTATAAGGTATTGTAGTACACAACAGGGAAAACAGGTGGAGCAATGGTTAATTAGATTAGTTTAGTTTAAGCAGCAGCAGCGTGAGGGTGAGGTTTGAACAGCAGAGTTCAGCATGAAGCTCAGTGGTTGTCAAGCCGGTCTAGAGGGCTGGTGAGCAGTGGGCACCCAGTCGGTGTTTAAGAACTCCAGCAGCACTGCTGTGTCTGATCCACTCAGACCACCACATTATTATCCCTATAATTATTATAATAAGCATTAATTGTATACTTGTACTTTCACTCAGTTGTTCTGAAATAATTATTTTAAAATGATTTTTGACTTATTATGTTGAAATAGTGACTTCTGTACTCTAGTATTTGTTATTTGTCCTAAAGTTTTGATTTACTGTGTAAAAAAAAAAACTGTCAAAATAAATATATATATATTTTCAAAATATTTATTATTTATCCCAAAATAATAATAATTTTGTTTTTTTAAAATCTGGTCATGGTGGAGAGATATATGCAGGGCATGTGAGACTAAATTTTTGCAACTTAGACTCTTAAAAAGATGGTTCTTTAATATTTTAGTAAAGAAAATGGTTCTATAAAGAACCATGAACACTCAAAGAACTGTTTGCATGATTAAAGCGTTCTATGCATCAAGGAGGGGTTCTTCAGATTGATGGAGAATGTGCTGTAGATGGTTCTGCATAGCACCCAAAAGGGTTCTTCTATCGTTACATGTCAAGCTTGCATATAATAGAAGAACCCTTTTCAAAAAAGGTTGAACATAGAACCGTCTACAGCACATTCTCCCTCAATCTGAAGAACCCTCTCATGATGCGAAGAACCGTTTAATCTTGCAAAAATACACTGCCTGACGTCTGAGACACTTTCACAATAGTTTAGAGAACTTAAACTCCATTCATGGTGGAGGGATACATGAAGGGCGCTGTGAGGCAAAATAGTCCCCAAAGAAAACTTATTATTTCAGATTTTCCACTATTTTCGTTTAACCCACCTTCGTAGTACATCATCAGAAGGAGGTTGTTTGGATCTTTAAAGTAGGAAATCTTAAATTGGAGACGACTGCAGCACTGCTGTAAGAAGTGAGAAGCTATGGGCCACTATGGCTGCATCCAAAACCACACACTACCATACTAAATTATGTGTTAAAGTGCACCACCAATAGAAACCCACTCATTAGTACAGTATGTGGTTTCGGACAGAGCTTGGGTCTGGACCTAGATACCTCTACTGTGTGTAGTGCCTGCTAGAAGGCAGAGCTGCATCATACCCACGTGATCCTGCCTGGACCAGGCTGTCTGGAGATGATGGTGACTTCATGACCTTTGCTCTTCAGCAGACGAGTCAGTTCACGACCCACAAACCCCGACCCTCCACCTGACAAGGAGCAAATTAATGATGAAGTCCAGATATGAGCCGGTCATTTAAAGAGGAACTCTGACAATTCTTCAAAAAATCTACATGATCAAACGATTAAGACACAAACAGAGTCATTCAGAGTGGTTTGGTGTGAAACGCTCTGTTCTAGAGAAACTTACCGAGTCAGAACTGTTCACAGTGGTGGTGATAGGAACCAGACGTCCACCTCTAAAAGCTCCCTCACAGAAAGTTCCTACATGAAATGGTTATGAATTCACTGCCTGATGACTGAGACACTGTTTTATGATAGTTTAGAGAACTTAAACTCCATTCATGGTGGAGGGATACATGCAGGGCGCTGTGAGGCAAAATAGTCCCCAAAGAAAACTTATTATTTCAGATTTTCCACTATTTTCCATCATCAACATTCCATATAAACTCAGAAGACTCGTGTAGGTTCACTGGTGGTTCTGGATAGTAAATAAAATGTCTATATTTGTGTTGTAGTCATGGCGACCCCTGGTTCCTATCACCACCACTGTAAAGACACCTGAACCATTTCACACCAAACCACTCTGAGTTACTCTGATTACATCTCACACGCTGAGTTATGGGTAAATTTTGAATAATCGGTGGTGCTCCCCTTTAAAGGCGGAGTGAATGTGAGCCGCTGTGTCGGTCTGCGGCAAAAGCGGGGGGAGAGTAGTCTGAATTGGGTTCCGGTGCGGCGCACCGGCTCACACATCGCACTCACTACGCCAGCCGCGAGCGATTCCAAGCCTTGCGCGCGCCGCATCGGCCGCTGGCGCTCAATGTGCGCCCGCAGCGTCTCGTGCGGGAGCCCGCGCGCGGGCCCACGGTTTCTGTGCACTCGCTCATCCGGGTCAGATGACGCTCTGCGAGAGCGGCGATTGGCTCGTGTCTCAGACCTTCCCCGAGATCAAGGGACGAGTGACGAGCACTCTGCATGTGACCTCTACAGTGAGCTTCCTCCCGCTCCGGAAGTAGAGGAGTTAATACCCGCCTATTTAAAGCCCGGTGGAGTCGGTACGCGTTTCGGTCATGGTGGTGGGTTAAACTCCGCGCGGATTCGTGTCGGCGGAGTGTCTCGCAGATAATTATTCGATCATTAATATGTTGTTATTTAGAGCTGCAGCGCGACTATTTATGCATAAAAAACATAAAAACACGTCGCAGACGCTGAGATTATAGATATTATGCAAATTAGCGCGCAGTGATTGGCTCAGCGAGCAACGCGTCACGGGGACAGCTCAGATAAAGCGTTCAAATACTGTTATCCTCCGAAAATCTGTTTTTTTTTTTTTTACTTTTTTTCGCCTAAATATGTGTGTATAAATGATTTCTCCTTATTTTATAAATGTGTATTAATTAAGGTTTGAAATATCTGTAAAGGAATAGAAAAAATGTGCAAAATTTCACATTCTCAAAATGTGAAAGAATTTAAACAATACCTACAAAGTATTTATGCTTCAAACAATACTAAAGCACTTTTCTTTTGTTGAGGTTTTCACTTGATTGGGAATTATTTGAACCCTTAGCAGTCTCTTTTTTGTTTTTGTTTTCTGTTCTCTTTGGACATATATGTGCGTTTTATACACTGGTCATTCTGACCACCTCCTTGTTTCTACGCTCATTGTCCATTTTATCAGCTCCACTTACTATATAGGTGGACTTTGTAGTTCTACAGTTACAGACTGTAGTCCATCTGTTTCTCTGATACTTTGTTAGCCCCCTTTTACCCTGTTCTTCAGTGGTCAGGACCCCCATGGACCCTCACATAACATTAATATGTTATTAGATTGATGAAACCACACACACACACACACACACACACACACACATATATACATATATATATATATATATCAATCTAATAACATAAAATATTATTGTTGTTGTTATCATTTTGTAATTTTCTGGTAAAATGTATTTAACACAGATCAATCCTTCTGTATGATTTGTCCTGCTAGTGTAAGAGTGCTGCAGCAGCTCTGGTCCAGCCTGAGTTCCTGAGAGGCTCTCCGCACAGGAAACACCCCGGAGTGACGACCCTCAAAACCCTCCGTCTGCCCGAGGGTCTCCAGAGAGGAGCTCTAACAGTCATACACAGTGAGTAATAAAGTAAACAAGCCTGTGCAGTAATAAAGTTAATTTAACATTAGCATTAATATAGCTAATAATGTAACATTCATGAAGTCAGTTTGTTAGCATTTATAGTTTAATAAGTTAAGTTGGTAAAATGAATAAATTAGTATTAGTAAAGTTGATAAACCCGATCTTGCTGAGTGCTGCTGCTCTGTACTTTATCCTATAAGTTCTGCTGGCGTGGCGTTGGGCACAGTGTTACTTTATATTAGCACCACAGTGTCTTCATCATCTCTCCACGCCACTAAAGCTAAAAGCCTGTATTGCTGTGGGGGGGTGTAGCCTGACCACCTCCTGCTGTGAACTGCACATTTAAACCACGCGTGTAAACATGAAACCTAAGCTCTTGTCTCACTGTGGCTCAGAAACTTAGAAAAGGCTTTAAACTCTCTGTTGAATCTCCATCTTTGCTGTGTTTGTTGGTGCAGAGTCAGAGGTGAAGGATTTGGCTGAAAGATCCCGCAGACTAAAGAACTACCTGTGGAGCCGCAAGCGAGCGGCAGAAGCCCCTCAGCTGAGAGAGAAGGCCATCGAGCTGGAGGAGAAATGGATGGAGAAGGAGCGACAGAGCGGTGAGCTCCAGCAGGACGAAAGAACATTACTAAGCTTTCCCCACATTTTACGGAGCCGTGCTGGTATAATACCATATAAATAAAAATAACGCATGGCCACGATTTAGCAAGGCTTGTTCCCATGCCTTACTAAGTCATGGCCACGCATTAGTATCTCATTCCCACGCATTAATATGGTGTGGCCACGCATTATTTTTACTTATACCGGATGTCACCAGCAGGGCTCCATAACTTAATAAGGCATGGGAATGAGATAATTAAGGTATGATCTCATTCCCATGCTTTACTAAGTCATGGCCACGACTTTAATTATCTTGTTCCCATGCCTTACTAAGTCATGGCTACGCATTATTATCTCATTCCCACGCATTAATATGGTGTGGCCACACATGGCTACACATTATTATCTTATTCCCACGCATTAATAAGGCATGGGAATGAGATAATTAAGCCTTGACCACAGTTTACTAAGGTATGATCTCGTTCCCATGCCTTACTAAGTCATGGCCATGCATTAGTATCTCATTCCCACACATTAATACAGCGTGGCCACACATTATTTGTATTTATATGTGATGTCACCAGCAGGGCTCTTTAACATTTACCCCAAATAAGATTGATCTGTTTTCAGCTGCCCCATGTTTACAGATTACAGTGTGTCATATAATGTGAGAGCAGCTCTGTCTGAGATTGATTTACAGTCAACCTGAAATCACAACTGACCTTTTTAACCCTGTTAGTTTGTGTATCTTGTCATATTAAGCATGATTCATCATATTTAAATGGCTAAATTCTTCTTTTTCTGCAGTCCTTCATCAAAATCTAATCACTCGCTTCCTTCTGATTTTTTGTTATATCATATTGCGTCAGTGGGCAGGAAATAATACTAACCAATAATATCATGTTTCAGCTTCCCCTTCCACCACTTTAACCTATGAGGGCATTATGATTTCTTTTCTCATTGGCTTTAACAGCTCGACGCGGTTCAAGGCATGTGTGTCATGTTTGAGGCTGGTGAAACTTTCATGCAGCTTTAGTTGGATGAAACAATGTGCAGACTGTTGAATTCATCCTTTGGCATGGCAAAATTAAAAAAAAGAAAAAAAGTAAAAATGAGAAAAAATGTGACAAAAATACAAATGCTTAAGGAGAAACAAATAATTAAAAAGTAGCTAAAATTATATGCAAAAAGTACAAAACACTTAATGGCTAAAGGGAGAAAGCGAGGTCATTTATTTTGGCTGTCCAGAAATCCAAACCACTTTGAGGCCACAATGTTTTATGTCCATTGTACCATCTTGGCTGTAAATATGTCTCAGTATGTCCTGATTTACAAGTATAGACTAAAATATATAATAGAAACAAAAACACAGACTCACTTTGCTCTGCTTTAATCTTTAGCTCAGCTATAGCTGCTTTTCTCGCATCTCCAGCAGGAAACTTTTCCTCAAAAGTAGAACAGTTTTTTGTAAAATGTCTCTCAATGTTTCCCCGTTCCACCTTAAATGGTGCCCGAGGCGCCAGAACATAACTGCTGCACCGTTTAAGGTGGAACGGGGCAATTCAAACAAGAAGCTGGGGAATGAGAAACTGACTTCAGCCTCGCGACTTTTTAGTGTTTCAGTTTTTCATTGCAGATTAAACGTATCAGGAAACCAGCTGGAGTGATTATAAACACAAATCCATTCGTCTCCAAATGATCGATGTTCATCTTAAATCTTTCTCTTTGCCGTTTCGTTAGCTACTAGCTAGGCGAGATTGTGGTCTGTGTTGCTATGGTGACCAGCAGTCTGCGCTGATCTTCAGGGTTAAAGGGTGAATCAGCAGTTCTACATTAACTCCAGAGTTTAAGACCATTTATTGTTAAACTGTGTTGAACGATCAGCAGAGCTTTATTTTACTGTAAAGGAGGATTATTTTATTATTACCTACTAATCTGATTCAGCTGTGGAGCCACAACAGGACAGGAAAAGAGCCGCATGCAGCTCTGGAGCCACATGTTGCCGACCCCTGACCTAAAAGTAAAGTGTTACCGAACCATCTGTATGCTTAAATGGCTCTTTTTATGGTGAAATGGTTCTTCAGGTCGATGGAGAGTGTGTTGTATATGGTTCTGTGTAGCACCAGAAAAGGTTCTGCTATTATGCTGTCGAGTCTGTAGCAACAGAAGAACCCTTTTAGCCAGCTTTTTTAAGTGTGTACATTGAAGGGGTCAGGGAGAAGGAGAGCGCGAGTCGTTCTTCAGGGCTGTGAGTGACGTTTGTTTTGTCCGTGTTGTTCAGATGGAGATGATCAGAACTTTGAAGCTAAAATCAAGAAGAAGGTTTTGTTTGAACTGAGGAAGACGACGTATCACTGGACGCCTCTGAGGTACAGATACGGTTCTCAGTGAGATCTCAGCTCTTCTGTGAGGTCAGTGTTCTCTGTTCCTCACACTGTGTTTCTGTTAGGTACGATGCGGAGCTCGGTGTGGTGTTTATGGCTGCCAGGCTCGCAGGAGGCTACGCTGCAGTCATGAGAGCCCTTAATGAGGTATTACACACACAGGGTGCTGCACTCATATGGAAAAAATATATATTCCAAATGTATTTATCAAACATATTTTTGCAATATATGAAAATGGATTTCGTCCCGTTGGGATTATAAGGTTCTACCTGTGTTCTGAGCATTTCTGAGATGTTGAGCTTCAAAGATTTTGCATTCCAAATAGAAGAACTGATGGGTGGAACACACGTCTTTAATACATGAAAATGACAGACACTCTAAATTTATTGTAAATGTACAACATCAAAATGCTATCAATTTTGTAAATGATTTTTTTTGGAGCAGGTCAATGCAGATAGAACCATGTTTCTGATGGAGTTATAAGGTTCTATCCAGCACAACATGAAAAGAAGCATAGAAGCAAGGAACACAGTTTACTTGTAATTTGTTTCAAAACAGAAGATTAGTGTTCTAACAAAATGTCTGCATCATCAGAAGGCCAAATTTTCTGCTTTGACATTTCTATAACAATTATTATTATAACATTTGTTGTTTTAGGACCAGTCATCTTTTTCTTATTCAAAAAGCTTTGATTGATAGATTACATACAAACTAACTATTTTGTCCAGTGCAGAGGTCAGTGTTAGGCAGAAGCCATTAGTTTCCTTTAAGTTAGACAGAAACCAGGGGCAACATTACAGAAACTTCTTAACTCTGGAACCTTTTCTTATCGGTTTGGTCTCCATGACGACTTCAGTACTGACTGAATGTCGGACAGTAGCTATTCCAGAATAACAGTTCCTGACCTCATAATCTCATCATCAACTCCAGATAAGAAAACAGCATCACACAAACATCCTAACTAGACTGAACCTCCTAAATCCTGTCCTAACTTTAGGATGAACCCCAACAGGGTCCTCACTTCTGTTTAAGGTCCGTTTCTATGGTTTTTAGGCAGCTGAGTCAGCAGCATAGTTCACTACCAGCATAATGAGCTCCATTTATCTCTACTGTAAAACGCTGCTTTCACTGTGAGATGATTTTCTTTTCTAACTCTGCGTTTTAAAGATCTCAGACGCTGCAGACTCGATCTCCACCGCCCCTCTGATCACCTTCGTGTGTTAATGTTGATGATGAAATATTACAGTGATGGTGGTGAATAATGAGGAGACGGAGCTGAACGTGGGTCTGTTTATTAGGAGGAGTAACGTTAGCGCGCTCGGCTAAAGCGTTTGGGAAATGGAGACTGAAACTGGGGAGCGGCGACGCTCTGATAAACAGCAGGGGGCGCTCTCACAGTATTCACTCCTTACAGTTTATCACACTTTAGTTCTGTTTGACCTTTTTTACATCCGTAACAGCAGCTTAACTCACATTTTAACATTATTTTGATGACGTGTTTACGTTTCAGTGCACGTATGGTTGGTTGCTAAACAGACATGACAGTTGATTGTCGACTTCAATCGAGAAAGTTTAGATTTCTTAACTTGAGATTAGAAAAGATGCTGTAAAATAAGATTCCTAAATTAAGATCAGTTTTGCTTCTGTAATACAAATTAGTGAAAAATCTTATCTTGACCTGTCAGATCAAAGTTAGAACCTGAACCTGACTGGTCCTCTTGTGTGTATATAAAGTGCTGATTGGCTCACAGATAGAACCTTATAGAACTAAGTTAGAGTTTGACTTTGGAGATGGAATCTTTTTGTTATTCTAGATAAAGAATCCAAAAATGCAGACAACTCAAAAACAGCTCACAAAATGTGAAGAAGTTATTACAGAATAAAAATATGAACCTTATAATTCCAAGGGGATGATTTGTTAAATATAGTTTTTAAATGCATTTATCAGTATTAGTAATTAATTATCTTGTTGTGTAATGAATTTTCCAGATGTAACTAAACGTACTGACTTCTGTGATCTGCACTGTACTTTACATTAACCATGTACGTCTGCAGTCAGACTCTCACACACAATGTATTTCACATAAACAAGATATCAGATCATAACTGCATTTTCACAGAGCATCAATACCCACAACACTCGCTTCTGTCCTGATAAAGGATCATTTGATCAGATTTAAAATGAAGATACTGGAAATTCATTTCTAAAGGTATCAGACAGTGAAGAGCATCAGACAGGATTTGATAAACACATTTATATACAGTTATTTTTGTCTGTGTGTAATATTTCCCCATACATTTTAAAATAAATGCATTTTGAAATATGTTTGGTTAATATGGCAAAATATTCTGATATTTTAGATAAGACCCTGTTGAGCTTGACACTAGTCTGTCATTGTGAAGAGACATGAGAGGTGTAGAATAAGTGGGAGGCCCCGCTCCGAGTCCTCGCAACCCCCCTGGGGTGGGTGCGGGGCTTGGTTCGCTCCGATCAAATGGCATACCCGGCCCGCCAGGGGTTAGGCCACCGTCCAGCGCTAGATATTTGTTTGAATGTGTTTAAATGTATTTCAGCATCGACTGCTGTGTGTTTGAAATGTATTTGAAATATCTAAAAATATAAGTCCTTATAGTTGTGTGTAGCTGTTCAGTGTCTCTAATAGTCCTGATTATGTGGTTTCTAACACTGTGTGACTCACTGTTCTCTATAAACATGGACTAAAATACGTTAGCAAAGCTAAACACAGAACCAGCCACCAAAAAGAGCCTAAATTATACATGTTTTTGTATTTTATGCCTGATGTCTGAGACACTGTTTTATGATAGTTTTAAGAAGATTTGGGCCTTAAACTCCATTCATGGTGGAGGGATACATGCAGGGCGCTGTGAGGCAAAATAGTCCCCAAAGAAAACTTATTATTTCAGATTTTCCACTATTTTCCATCATCAACATTCCATATAAACTCAGAAGACTCGTGTAGGTTCACTGGTGGTTCTGGATAGTAAATAAAATGCCTATATATGTGTTGTAGTCATGGCAACCCCTGGTTCGTATCCACATGACATGTAATCTTAATTCATACACTCCTTATAGCACCTGTGTGAGTGGGTGGGGCTAAACTGCCATAGGATGAATATGTAAATGAGTTGGGAAAAATGACAAAATTAGTTCAAAACAGGCTGTTTTTGCAATTTAGTTTCCATATATGGACTGTATGGTCTGTATGGGCTGTATGGACTGTATGGTCTGTATGGACTGTATGGTCTGTATGGACTGTATGGTCTGTATGAACTGTATGGACTGTATAGTCTGTATGGTCTGTATGAACTGTATGGTCTGTATGGACTGTATGGTCTGTATGGACTGTATGAACTGTATGGACTGTATGGTCTGTATGGTCTGTATGAACTGTATGGTCTGTATGGCTGTATGGTCTGTATGAACTGTATGGTCTGTATGGTCTGTATGAACTGTATGAACTGTATGGTCTGTATGAACTGTATGGACTGTATGAACTGTATGGTCTGTATGAACTGTATGGTTTGTATGGACTGTATGGTCGGTATGAACTGTATGGTCTGTATGGACTGTATGGTCTGTATGGTCTGTATGGACTGTATGAACTGTATGGTTTGTATGGACTGTATGGTCGGTATGAACTGTATGGTCTGTATGGTCTGTATGGTCTGTATGGACTGTATGGTCTGTATGGACTGTATGAACTGTATGGTCGGTATGAACTGTATGGTCTGTATGGTCTGTATGGACTGTATGGTCTGTATGGTCTGTATGGACTGTATGGTCTGTATGGTCTGTATGGACTGTATGAACTGTATGAACTGTATGGTCGGTATGAACTGTATGGTCTGTATGGACTGTATGGTCTGTATGGTCTGTATGGACTGTATGAACTGTATGGTCTGTATGAACTGTATGGTTTGTATGGACTGTATGGTCGGTATGAACTGTATGGTCTGTATGGACTGTATGGTCTGTATGGTCTGTATGGACTGTATGGTCTGTATGGTCTGTATGGACTGTATGAACTGTATGGTCGGTATGAACTGTAGGATGAAGGCCATGTTTTTAAACTTTAACAGTGTTTATGTATTACATCAACCTCTATTTAAAAAAACAGGGAGGAACATTTGTTTTTCCATGATATGAGCCTTTCAAAGCCTGAATTTTATCCATATCTTGGCCATTTTTATAGATAGCAAACATTTTTGCCTTACATTTGGGGTAAAATTACGTAAACCTGATCATTTTCCAAACTATTTCTGTAAGTTTTGTTGAAGCTGAGGCTAAATAAAGCTCATGAAATTCACCTGCAAGTTCACTCCTTTCAGATAAAGAAGAGAGACCTGTCGTTTGCACCTCGCTCTCTGCTGGACTTTGGCTCAGGGCTCGGCACGGCTCTCTGGTGAGGATGACCTGACTGAGATTTGTGGTGTTTTCAGTGTAGGTTGCACTGTAACCAAGGCTGAAAGGACAGTACGGCGGTGTGTGATCGTTACTGTGATAAATGCCAGTCATTACTGGGCAAACTGAATCTGAATGTGCCGTCAAAATGAACCGCTGTATAATATTTAACTATTTGTTTATTTTTCTGTTTGCTTATTTTTGCAAAGGTTGCGGTAATGATGTTGCATTTTCATCACAAAAAATCAACAAAATATGTAATTTGGCAAAACTTCTGTTGCAGCTAAGTATTGTGATGTCATATTTCGGCCACATCGCCCACCCTTAAGGCTGACGCCCCTAAGTCATTCAGGGTAGATGTTGGTGAACGTCTGAGTCAGTAAACATATTCAGATGAATTGCAGATCATTACTGTAACTCAACATGATCATTTTCCTTCATCAGTGCAGTTTTATTCTGTTCTCTTACCCCTAAACTCTGTCCCGCAGGGCCTCACACACACACTGGGGCGACTCCCTAAAGGAGCACGTCTGTGTGGACGCCTCTGGAGCCATGAACAGACTGGCCGAGCAGCTCCTCACAGGTACGTTTATTTACCTTTAGAAGGAGTGTAATCTGAACTCACGCCGGTGCCAAGGTGTTGATCATATTCGTGTTGTTTCTCAGGTGGCAGCGAAACTGAAGATCCACTTATTAAACACGTTTACTTCCGACAGTTCCTTCCAGTCTCCCCGAAGGTGTGTTCACATAGCACTGTGAAAAAGTCAGAGACCCCTCATTTATTTAATATTCAGCCAGAATAACCATTAAATACAAGTTATTCATTTTTCAGCATCAGGAAAAAAGCAGAAAACAAATTTAACAGATTTTCTTCTAGCTTCTCATTTTGACTACATAGTATATAGTAGTTTGACTACTGGATAATGTGATATTTTCCCAAATTTTCACTTCCATGCAATTCCAGTGCATCCATCTAACGGATCTCCTTGATTTCTGTGCTTTTTTTCTGTAGGTTCAGTCTGATCTGGTGGTAGCAGCTTTCTCTTTGTCAGAGCTGGCCTCTCAGAAAGAACGAGAAGATACGGTTCTCACACTCTGGAGGAAAACAAACGCCTACCTTGTAAGTGATCACTTTTAACTTTTAACGTGTATACTGCTACATACTAACACTGGCCACTTTATTAGAAACACCTACCTGGTGCTTCCGCTCACTGGCCACTTTATTGGAAACACCCACCTTGTGCCTCCACTAACTGGCCACTTTATTGGAAACACCCACCTTGTGCTTCCGCTCACTGGCCACTTTATTGGAAACACCCGCCTTGCACTTCCGCTCACTGGCCACTGTATTAGAAACACCCGCCTTGCGCTTCCGCTGACTGGCCACTTTATTGGAAACACCCACCTTGTGCTTCCACTAACTGGCCACTTTATTAGAAACACCCACCTTGCACTTCCACTCACTGGCCACTTTATTGGAAACACCCACCTTGTGCCTCCACTAACTGGCCACTTTATTGGAAACACTCACCTTGTGGCTCCACTAACTGTCCACTTTATTGGAAATACCCTCCTTGTTCCTCCACTAACTGGCCACTTCATTGGAAACACCCACCTTGTGCCTCCACTAACTGGCCACTTTATTAGAAACACCCACCTTATAGCTCCACTATGTAGGTATACATTTACAGACTAGTCCATCTCTTGCAGGTTATCAGCCCCTCTGTATTTCATTCATCATTGGTCAGTTACTGACCATGGGACCGCTGTTGTCCAGATGTTATGTGGGTGGTGGTCCATTCTCAGCAGGGCAGTGACACTGATGTGGTAGTGTGCGTGGTGCTGGTACGAGTGTATCAGACACAGCGGTGTTCCTGACTCATCATCAGTGTCACTGCTAGGGTGAGAGGGGACCACCACCCAAAAATATCCAGCCAAGAGTCAGAAACTGACCACTGACAAAGAGCTAGACGATCTGCACCTACAGATGGGCTCCAGACTCCAGCTGTGCACCAGCAAGGTGGAGGGGTTTCTGATAAAGTGGACAGTGATTGTTTTCCTTTATTAAAAATAAACAACACACCTCTTGTTATGTTTTAGGTGCTGGTGGAAAACGGAACAAAAGAAGGGCATCAGGTTTTAATGGAAGCCAGAGACGTGTTACTGAAGGTATGGTTTAAAATGAATATAATGTTGGGTAACACTTTCTTTGAAGGCTACCTGCATAGGGACTACATAACACAGGCATAAGCACTGAATAATATATTTATAAAGCGGTTTTTGAGCGTTTATGTCCAGCTTATACTAGCAACCACAAGATGATCCCAGATGTTATATGAAGTAAATGACATTGCTTTGACATAAGAGACCTTAAACTAAAGTGAGGGACATTTGTTCTGTTTATAACACCATTATGAACCATCATTCCCAAGTAATGGAGCTTAGAAGGAAGGTTTAGTTTAAAAGTCAATCCTTCATAGTTCTGCATGAGTTAAAGTACAAAACACTTATGTCAATACAAAGTTGTTTACTTCAGCTTATGGATGATATCTCGATTACTGGCATAAGCTGTTCATAAACACTCAAGTATTGCTTTATTAATATGTTATTCAGTGCTTATGTATGTGTAATGATGTCCTTATGTACATAGCCTTTGAATATTGTGGACAAATGCTGCTTAAGCATGTACCTGGCATCTGTTGTCAAATGCCTAATTAACGTTATTAATAATAATTATCACAATAAACAGTTTTGCAAAATAATGACTGACACAACACTCAACTAATGACTGCTTAGCCACCTTAGCAACTCAGGAGTAGCTTCAGTCGCTCCTTATTAGACATGAACACCTTCGGTTTTAATGTTGAGTGACTAAACAGCTTCCCTGCTTTCATTAAATATATATACACCGGTCAGGCATAACATTATGACCACCTCCTTGTTTCTACACTCATTGTCCATTTTATCAGCTCCACTTACTATATAGGTGCACTTTGTAGTTCTACAGTTACAGACTGTAGTCCATCTGTTTCTCTGATACTTTGTTACCCTGTTCTTCAGTGGTCAGGACCCCCATGGACCCTCACAGAGCAGGTACTATTTGGGTGGTGGATCATTCTCAGCCCTGCAGTAACACTGACGCGGTGCTTGTCTGAGTGGATCAGACACAGCAGTGCTGCTGGAGTTTTTAAACACTGTGTCCACTCACTGTCCACTCTATTAGACACTCCTACCTCGTCAGTCCACCTTGTAGATGTAAAGTCAGAGACGATAGCTCATCTGCTGCTGCACAGTGTGTGTTGGTCATCCTCTAGTCCTTCATCAGTGGTCACAGGACGCTGCCCACAGGACGCTGTTGGCTGGATATTTTTGGTTGGTGGACTATTCTCAGTCCAGCAGCGACACTGAGGTGTTTAAAAAATCCAGCAGCACTGCTGTGTCTGATCCACTCAGACCAGCGCAACACACACTAACACACCACCACCACGTCAGTGTTACTGCAGTGCTGAGAATGATCCACCACCCAAATAGTACCTGCTCTGTGGGGGTCCATGGGGGTCCTGACCACTGAAGAACAGGGTAACAAAGTATCAGAGAAACAGATGGACTACAGTCTGTAACTGTAGAACTACAAAGTGCACCTATATAGTAAGTGGAGCTGATGAAATGGACAATGAGCGTAGAAACAAGGAGGTGGTCAGAATGTTATGCCTGACCGGTGTACATGGTTGTGTTCTATCTCTCTGTGTGTTTACAGAAGGAAGAGAAGGTGATTCATGACTCCCGGAGGCCGGTGGTGTTCGCTCCTGTGCGTTTGAACTATTTACACTTTCACTCATTATGTTTGTCCCTGTTTTTGTGGTTCATATTCAGTTTTCTTGGTTTTCTTGTTTGTAGTCCTTTATTTCACTGCAGTCTCTCCGCCCCGTGTGTGTTTGTGTAGTGCACTCATGAGCGGACTTGTCCCAAACTGCTGAACCAGCCGGTGGTGCCCTGCAACTTCCTCCAGCCCTACCACCCCCTGCCTTTACCTGGGGTGAGTCACCTGCACTGTCACTTTAAAGCGATAGTTTGGCAAAAAATCAAACTATCGATCAGCCAAAACAAGATCAGTATCTGAAGTTTCCTCTTTCAGTGTTAGCATTGGAGCTACAAAGCTAATGCAGCTAACAGCTAATGCAAGCTCATGGTTGTGTGCAAAAGTTTGAGCACCCCAGTCAAATTAGGCTTGGTTGATTTTCTAAGTGAGAATAAGTAAAAACGTCCTCTACAGGGAACAAACTTTAGTGCACAATTTCTATTTGAGTTTGACATATTGGAAAAGATAAAACATAAAAATGAATAACATTTTTTTTTGCATATTTTATGTTTTATTTTTTCCCACTGTATTAAATTCAGTGAATAAACAGTAATTGTGCATTAAAATGTGCAGAAGTGTGTCTACACCACCTCCTTGTTTCTACACTCACTGTCCACTTCATCAGCTCCACTGACCACATAGTTTCACTCTGTAGTTCTACAGTTACAGACTGTAGTCCATCTGTTTCTCTGCATACTTTGTTACCCTGTTCTTCAGTGGTCAGGACCCCATGAACCCTCACAGAGCAGGTACTATTTGGGTGGTGGGTCATTCTCAGCACTGCAGTAACACTGACGTGGTGGTGGTGTGTTAGTGTGTGTTGCGCTGGTGCGAGTGGATCAGACACAGCAGTGCTGCTAGACTCTTCAAACACCTCAGTGTCGCTGCTGGACTAAGAACCAAAAATATCCAGCCAACAGCGTCCTGTGACCACTGATGAAGGACTAGAGGATGACCAACACAAACTGTGCAGCAGCAGATGAGCTATCGTCTCTGACTTTACATCTACAAGGTGGACCAACGAGGTAGGAGTGTCTAATAGAGTGGACAGTGAGTGGACACAGTGTTTAAAAACTTCAGCAGCACTGCTGTGTCTGATCCACTCGTACCAGCACAACACACACTAACACAAGACCACCACGTCAGTGTTACTGCAGTGCTGAGAATGATCCACCACCCGAATAGTACCTGCTCTGTGAGGGTCCATGGGGGTCCTGACCACTGAAGAACAGGCTAACAAAGTATGCAGAGAAACAGATGGACTACAGTCTGTAACTGTAGAACTACAGAGTGAAACTATACGGTCAGTGGAGCTGATAAAGTGGACAGTGAGGTTATTTCTGTCCATTTTTGTGGAAACATAAGCCTCCATTGCTTGTTAGCTACATTAGCCTTGTAGCTCCAGTGCCAACAGAACCTGTACTTGTCCTCCTCAGAGCGCCGACAGGGAGGAGGAGAGGTTCAGCTACCTGATCGTGAGCAGGGAGGAGAGAGAGGCGCCGGGAGAGAGAGAGGGTGTGGAGTGGGGAAGATTAACCGCTCCGGTCCATCGCAGAACCAGACACGTCCAGTGCCAGATCTGCTGCTCCACCGGAGAACTCAAGCAGCTCGCTGTCACTGCGCGCCAACATGGAAGGTCCAGTTCACTCCCCTCCATTCACTGACCTCTCCAACGTTATCCAACATTGTAGTTTCACTTTGAGCCAGGAGTGGAAAATACTGTAGTTCATTACTGTTTGTACTTAAGCATTACTGTAACTGTTCTTACAGTACAAAGTACTAAATACTTTAACCTTAGATAGACAGATTGACAGATCGCCATAATGATAACATTTTGTCATACTGCCCACCTAATAACTTTACTAGTAGTTTTAATTTATCCATTACAACATGTAATTTTCACTTTTTTTTTTTTTTACTTTACTTTCTCTTTATTTTTCCCACCCCTGCCCTACAACTTAGGGCAACTCGTCCCACATTTCACCAGACAGTCCCAAAAATCCAAGGATCGTCCCACTTCCCGCAGAAACAAAAGTGCCTGGACTTTCAAAGAGCACGGGGAGAAAATAAAAATATTCTTTCATTTTTTTTAAATATTTATTTTACACATATATAAAATATCAAAGCGTTCAGTGCTATTAAAGGAGACGCAGCTTTCGCACAAGTAGTGGTGCTTTATTAACCAGCTGTTGTCGGCCACAACCACGCCGTACATTAGGAGAGTTTTCTAGCTTCGCTACGTCTTCTCACTAGACTGATACTCAGTTCTTCCTGATCTACACATATAAGAGTGCCTTCACAATAAGAGTCCTTATAGAATAACCCAGCAAATAAATGCTGTAGAACTATAAACATGTCAACAACATTTCTTGGACCTGCTACAGTATGTATAAAAATTAAATATTGTCTTGCTCCAATTATTATTCCCACTGGCTTACTCTTAAAAAGGGAGATGTGACTGGTTAAAAAAGAAAAAACCCACAATCCTCAGCAAAAACTGCCTGCGAGTTTCATAGTCGTATCATAAAACATACATCATAAACACATTCACTCGTCTGAATGAGCAGACACAGAAGAAAACAGCTTTTATTTACAGTAATGACTTAAATCAGTTAGATACAGAGAACAAGATGTGCATAATCATGCTTTAATGTTGACTCCAGCAGGTGAACCTACATTTGATCTATTACTATCCATATTTACACTTAATAAATTAAATCAGACTTGATAGATACAGGCATGGAAGTACTGATTATCCAGAAACACATCAGCAAGGACTGACCACGGCATTTTCGGTAACACTTCATAGCATTCGCTATAAAAGGTTACATTTGCCAATTTTGATCAAAGTTATCTAAAGTAGCCTTTATGACAGATGCTGCCTACTGGAATAAGGATTTATAAACATTTATGTAGGGTTATGTCAGTTGTCATGACAAGCTTATGTGGGTGTCATGTAGCCTTATGAAAAGCACCTTACAGTAAAGTGTTGCCGCATTTTCTTTACTAATAACGGAATCTGCTGTGATCTGATCTCCTAACGTTGAAAATTCACACTTTCAGGGACTCGTACCGCTGCGCCCGGAGCAGCAACTGGGGAGACCGGCTGCCAATCATCAACACAGAGGACGACACGCTTACAGAGCAGCCATAATCACCTTAAACGGTCGATGTGCGCGTTGCTGATGAAGGAAGGACGGCGCTGAGTCCCTGAAAGGACTAAAGGGAATAGTGCAGCTGGAGGGAACCTGTGATGGACGTCAAAGCCACTGCAGAAACCCGAGCATGTGAATGAATGAACAGCACACTGTCTGCACCAATGACTGTACTGGGTCAGAAAACAGGAACAGGCTGACTGCTTCTGGGGACAAACAAGAGGGTCCACAATTTTGCTCTATTCTAGCTCCCATCACACCCGAACCAGGTGTTCTGTGTTCAGGTTCCACAGTGGTCTGAAGGCTTGTTGGTCCAGTGAGTGCTCTGCTGGTTTCTAATCCGGATCTTGGGGACACCCAGGAAGTCTCTAGCTGTCTTTCATCCATATCTAGAACCGAATACCTGGCACAGGTGTACTGGGAGGTGGGATACAGCAAAAAAGTGGACCGTGTGGAGGTCCCCAAGGACTGGATTTGGAAACACTCTTGAACCGTGGACCCACAGAAGTATTTACAACTGTGTACTTAAAGCCTTTAAAATAAACTGATTAGAATAATAAAGTGATTGCTCTTTTGATCTGTTTCCTTCCGAAATGTCACTCATAGTCTCTGCACTGCTGAAAATGAGTAACCAATAAACCGGCTACGTTCGAATATCTAGCTTCCAACGATCTCCCGGAGGGCCGAGGTCAGGTCTGGGTACCGAAACTGAAAGCCGGACTCCAGAGTCCTCTTGGGAACGACCTTCTGACCCTGCGTGAGGATGACGGTTCTCTCAGAGCCCAGCAGGGCGTCCATGAGGAACCCCGGGACGGGAAACAGGGTGGGCCTCCTCAGGATTCGACCCAACTCCTTCGTGAACTCGTAGTTGGTGTTCAGCGCCGGAGCGACACCGTTAAACACCTCCGGCTGTGTGGAGGGGGGTGAGCTGGAGGTCTCCAGAGCGTGAAGGATGATTCCAGCCAGGTCTGAGACATGGATCCAAGGAAAAGGCTGACGGCCCGAGCCCAGAGGACCACCCAGACCCAGCCAGAACGGGGTCAGCATCTGCTTCATGGCACCACCATCCCGCCCCAACACAGCACCTGAGAAAAGAAGCGGAGTTGTTATACTAAAACGCCACAAATAAGCGCAGATAACGAAATACGTCTGGCTCTTTATTCTAGATAAACACAGTTTCCTGCTCAGCTGTTTCAGCCGGTTCTTATACTAATAACAGGCTGGTGCTGATGTGCAGGAGAGACAGGGAGACTGAGTGTTTCTTTATGGGTGAATCGATATGAAAGTAGAGCTCCACCAACTCACCGCCCCTCATTTAACACCAGGAGGTGCTGCCTTCACTTCGCAAAGCCTTTGGCCACAATATTGAGACCTTTCCTGGTATTAATGCCACTTTAATGTCGTAATTCTACGACCTTTTGTCTCGAAATGTTACAGTAGAAATATAGCTAATTCTTCATGTAGAGAAGAAATAGCCATGAACCCACACCAGCGGGAGCTAATGATCACCATGTTTACAGTCACAACTTTTACAAACAGATGAGTGTTTACTCCAAAAAAATACTCAGTTACTCAGAATGTTATGCATTTTCCATTAAAGGATCACTAAGTCAGTTAAAGCTGAAAAGCGTGTGAGTTAAAGAGCGTAAAGAAGTGTGTAATTTTTCTCTGCTGATCTTATCAAACTGTGCTGACCGCTGCAGGAAAGCAAATTTAAAAAAAGTAGCGTTTTAAATGTTAGTATATGCCTCGTCTTTTGCTTTTTTCTGCCTGTTTTTCTTTCACCCGAAAGCAGAAAGTCATTTCGGGTGAACAGTTTTGGTGGCCGATATTTTGGTGCATCCCTAATTAAGTGTGTTACTGGTCACCTGGTCTGATGACCACTTGTCTTGTGCTCTGAGCGAGGCTGTGAGGAAGCCGGCCGGCCTCCTCCCACTCCTTCACCAGCTGAGACAGGAGGTCAAAGGGCGTCCACTCGCTGTCCTCTGTGTACTGACTCTGCAGACTGGGCTTGTAGCAGGCTGTAGATGAAGGTTCACAGTGAAAGAGAAGAAAAGGCCGAGGAGAGGAAGAAGAAACAAGATCAGATCGTGTTTACAGCGCTGTGCAAAACAGAGACTTTAATTTCCAGGTAAAACAGCCATTAAACACACTTTTTACACAGAAGCCTCAGCAGCTGAATCTACTCTCAGCTCTGATGGTCAGTGAGTCTCTCTTCACCTTTATTCCAGCTTCCTTTCTTCTCAGGAGACTCACTTTCAGCTCCTCAAAGAATCTGCAGACACACCTCCAAAGTTCAGTCTTAGAAGCTGGTTGATGATTTTCTGAAGTAATCAAACACATTCAGTGGTGTTGAGGTCTGGACTCTGGGGTGGTCAGTCCATCGTTCAGCTTCTTTGTTTGATGTGTCCGTCTCCTTTTCTCAGTGAGGTTCTTCTTGATCAGCTACACATCCTTTCAGACCCACAGCGCTGAGTCGTCTTCTCACAGTGGAAGGATGGACAGAAACACCTGTGGATGTTTTCAGATCTGATCAGCTTGATTTTCTCCTCTCTCTCAGAGATGAAAGCTTTAAGTGCTGTTTATCTGATGGGGGCAGTTTTGGGGTCGACCAGCTCTTCCAGGTGGTTGTTAGGAGCCACATTTGCTCTGGAGCTTTTAATCAGTTTTGAAAACTCCTGTTTCATCACTTTCACTTTCTCCTTCTACATGCAGGTGGATTATCTTACATCTAATTATTTAGAAATATCACCTGAAAAATTAGGAACTTAATGGCTGTTTTCACTGGAAATTAAAAAAAAAAAATCAAGGGTGGTTTTGCACAGTAATTAAGATCTGATTCATCTTAAAAAAGATGGTTCTTCAGTAAAGAAAATGGTTCTATATTGAACCATGAACACTTAAAGAACCCTTTACATGATTAATGGGTTGTTTGCATCATGAAAGTGTTCTTCAGATGAATGGAGAACGTGCATGAATGGGCTAGATAGTTCTATATAGAACCTTTTTGAAAAGGGTTCCATACAGCACCAAAAAAGCATTCTTCTATTGTGACAAGCTTGACGTGGTAACAATAGAAGAACACTTTTTGTAAATGTTCTATATAGAACCATCTACAGCACATTCTCCATCATTTGAAGCACCATTTCATGATGCAAAGAACCCTTTAAATATGCAAATGGTTCTTTGAGTTTCCTTTACTAAAGAACCTTTTGAAGAAGCATCATTTTTACAGAGTGTAGGTAACGCACTCACCCACTCCTGTGATCAGGACCCAGGACTGCGGAGGCGAAGAAGAGGCCGCGATGGCTTGAGCTAAAGTTCTCGTCGTGTCCACTCGACTGGAGAACAGGTCTTTCTTATAACTGTCGTTCCACCTGAGAGGATGAAGGAAGACAGCCGGGGATACAGGCTGAGTTAATGAAGTGAGGGATGTGAAAGAAACAGCAGAAATCAGAGTGAACGAGTGACGTTTTGATGAGAGCACCTGCAGATATCAGACGTCAGCAAGTACAGACAGGAGATGTGGAAAATTATACAACAGTCAGTTCCGGCCACGCGAGCTGATTGGTTGAGAGCCGTTCTAACTGTGCTGTTATTTCACCATAACATCACAGGTTTTTCACAAACACTGTATCACTCCACTGAGGCGCTGTTGCTAAGCAACGACTTTGACAGCTGTAGGAGACGCTCAAGACATTTGAACGTTTTTACTTCTTACTTTGCCACAAACAGAAAACGGACACTTTTAAGATCACATTTGACCGACAGCCGATTTGGTCAGACTCTGAAGATGAGACGACACTAAATTCCCAAACTGTCATCACCACTGAGCAGCTTTTCAGTCGGCAGCTGTGACAGAAGAACAGCTGAACAACCTGGAATCAGCCAGAAATGAACCCAACACCATTCGCCAAACTAAACGGGCTGTAAGATGCTTTACAGACTGGCTGGAACAAAACAACATTAATACTGATCTGGCAAAAACTGACAAAACTGAGCTGAACTTGATATTGCGGCAGTTTGATGGCTCAGTCTGATTTGGTCAGACTCTGAAGATCAGACTACACGTTTGGCGAATGGTATTGGGTTCATTTCTGGCTGATTCCAGGTTGTTTAGCTGTTCTTCTGTCACGTTTTTGAAAAGGATTCTACATAGCACCCAAAAGGGTTCTTCTATTGTTACAGTGTCAAGCTTATATGGAACCCTATGTTGAGCTCGTAACAATAGAAAAACACTTTTTTGGTGCTATATAGAACCTTATGGAACCCTATGTCAAGCTTGTACCAATAGAAGAACCTTCTTTTGGTGCTATATGGAACCCTATGTTGAGCTCGTAACAATAGGAGAAACCTTTTGGGGGTATACAGAACCCTTTTCAAAAAGGTTCTATATAGAACCATCTTCAGCACCTTCTCCATCAAGCTGAAGAACCCTTTCAAGATGCAAAGAACCCTTTAATCTTGCAAAGTGTTCTTTGAGTGTTAAAGAACCCCTTGAAGAACCATCTTTATTCAGAATGTATGGAATGATATGAACGATACGCTCAGAAAAGCATTTTCTTTATCACAATATCAATATTGATCACAGTGACAACAGAATATCATCCTCTAGATACAAAACCAGGAGAATTCAATTCTCAGTCACACTCAGAAAAAATGGCGCTGGGAAGTGTTTCGCAAACGACTTCAGTCACGTACTGTTCGCTCAGGGGATCAAACCAGCGACCTTCCAGTCACAAGGCTGGTTCCCTGACCTCCAGCCCACGACTGCCCCTAGACTCTGACACCTTGTTGTCGTCCTGTTTAATCTTTTGTTTACTTTCAGTCCAAATTTTCACCCTTTTTCCTCTTTTTGACAAACTTTTGACCGTTTTCAGACAAAATTCCATTGTGTCACCTAATCAGGCAACTCGTGTGTTGACTGACCATCTCAGTGGGTTCATGATGTTTTCTCCAGCCAGGTTCACTGCCCCCTCACACGGCGGGAGACCACCGGATTCAACATCAGCCTGCAGAGAGAGGGACAGGAAAAAAATAACTGACCGCTTCCTCCACTCAAGGTTTAACCTTTACAAGAGAAAACAAGGACGCCACTCTAGGGCTGGACAATACGACAGTGTTTATCGTTATCGTGATAAATGACCTGACAGCATGTCACAGTCTTTTCTGACTATATAGAGGATATCGTCAGTACTTGCGCAACACGGACCAACTGCATGTTTGACTGTGAAAAGAGTAACATTAGTCCAGTTAATCTGGATTTAGTGCAGCGCAGTGTGAAATGTCACTGTATTCATATTTTTCCATAGTATTTTTTAAATGTAGCACTACTTTGTCTGCACCTTAACACGTAATTACAACACAAGACATATCGTGTTTATTTCATTTATTTTTAGATAGCCGCTATTCTTCCTGGGGTCCAGTAGACATACATTACAAAATAGTGCAATAACGATCAACGAAACAAGTCATACAAAACACGAGTAAAAATAAAAGAAAAACAAAAAGAGAGAGCAAACAAAACACATGAAGAACGGAAAATAACATAGTGGGACTATTTAAAACATAAAATAACAGTAGGACGACGACTGATATATATCATGATGTTACATTTTTAGCTTTATCTTTAAAACAAATCCTAGTGTGACTGCGATTTGATTGTCTGTGCACTTTGTTAAAACAGGTGTGAACTACTCAAGCCTGCCGCACCAAATAAGTGGACTGAGACCTCCTGAAGAGGTCAGTCACAGCCCGCTTCCAAACGAATGCAAAATGGACCAAAGATGTCTAAACGGACCAAAGGAGGGAGCCGCTGTCTCACCCCCTTTAAATTGGAAACTGCCGAACTGATATGACCGCATGCATCTTTTGTATTATGTATCAAAGAGTGGTGGTGATAGGAACCAGACGTCCACCTCTAAAAGCTCCCTCACAGAAAGTTCCTACATGAAATGGTTATGAATTCACTGCCTGATGACTGAGACACTGTTTTATGATAGTTTAGAGAACTTAAACTCCATTCATGGTGGAGGGATACATGCAGGGCGCTGTGAGGCAAAATAGTCCCCAAAGAAAACTTATTATTTCAGATTTTCCACTATTTTCCATCATCAACATTCCATATAGACTCAGAAGACTCGTGTAGGTTCACTGGTGGTTCTGGATAGTAAATAAAATGTCTATATCTGTGTTGTAGTCATGGCGACCCCTGGTTCCTATCACCACCACTGTAAAGACATCTGAACCATTTCACACCAAACCACTTTGAATGAAACTGAAAACTGGTTGTTTGGATCTTTACAGTAGGAAACCTCAAATTGGAGACTACGGCAGCGCTGCTGTAAGAATGTTTACCACAGATGTATTGATCTTTACACTTTTCATTTCGGCTGGTGTGTCCCTTTAACAGTGAGAAGCTATGGGCCACTATGGCTGCATCCAAAACCACACACTACCATACTAAATTATGTGTTAAAGTGCACCACCAATAGAAACCCACTCATTAGTACAGTATGTGGTTTCGGACAGAGCTTGGGTCTGGACCTAGATACCTCTACTGTGTGTAGTGCCTGCTAGAAGGCAGAGCTGCATCATACCCACGTGATCCTGCCTGGACCAGGCTGTCTGGAGATGATGGTGACTTCATGACCTTTGCTCTTCAGCAGACGAGTCAGTTCACGACCCACAAACCCCGACCCTCCACCTGACAAGGAGCAAATTAATGATGAAGTCCAGATATGAGTCGGTCATTTAAAGAGGAACTCTGACAATTCTTCAAAAAATCTACATGATCAAACGATTAAGACACAAACAGAGTCATTCAGAGTGGTTTGGTGTGAAATGCTCTGTTCTAGAGAAACTTACCGAGTCAGAACTGTTCACAGTGGTGGTGATAGGAACCAGACGTCCACCTCTAAATGCTCCCTCACAGAAAGTTCCTACATGAAATGGTTATGAATTCACTGCCTGATGACTGAGACACTGTTTTATGATAGGTTAGAGAACTTAAATTCCATTCATGGTGGAGGGATACATGCAGGGCGCTGTGAGGCAAAATAGTCCCCAAAGAAAACTTATTATTTCAGCTTTTCCACTATTTTCCATCATCAACATTCCATATGAACTCAGAAGACTCGTGTAGGTTCACTGGTGGTTCTGGATAGTAAATAAAATGTCTATATGTGTGTTGTAGTCATGGCGACCCCTGGTTCCTATCACCACCACTGTAAAGACATCTGAACCATTTCACACCAAACCACTCTGAATCTCTCTGATTACACCTCACACACTGAATTGTGCAGAAATTTTGAAAAAAATCGGTGGAATTCGCCTTTAAGAGGACACACTGACAAGGAAAGTCACCCATCTAGCTACTCCTGCGCATGCGCCACGTCTGAACTTACAAAACAGTCCACCTCATTCGCATAAAAAAAATAACCTACGAAGCTGAAATAAACAGAACCGTGCATGTTTGACTGTATAAATACAGGGTCATATGTTGTGCATGTTGCAGTGAGATACAGCAGGAACGTGTCAGTAGAAATGAAACCTCGAGTTAGTGCCTTAAGAGTCCAGCACAGCCGTGTTTTCATGTTCACTCACATAACGTTTCGTCAACTGACTTACCGATCAATACTCTCATGTTGTTGTCAGCAGGCAGGCGAATGCCCTTCCCTCGTTCGGTTATCCTCAGCAAATCAACCTCATTCACATGTTTTTACCAACACTGACCCTACAGGAGCCCCATAGGCTCACCACGTGACCCACGTGGGCGGTGAAGAAGAAAAAATAAATTAGATTCAGATTAATTTTGTGATGTGTGAGGCTGGATTTATCCATATTAAATATTTCGCATTGTTAATCATCAAATATTTCGCGTTTTAAACAGAAAATGTATTTGTACATGGATTTGTAGTTCTTGTTAATAGTCCATCCTCTTCCGAACTACATTTCCGCAAGAGCAACGCGGGGACGGTCTAAACAAATCAGAGGCGTCCGTGTCATCCGGGAATTTGGCATCACAGAGCCAGACACGAGAGCTACATTCTGCTGAATTATCAATGCAGACCGAGGCCTGTGTACAGAAAATTCCCCCAAAATTCACCTTTCGATAACAGGCAAAATAAACAACGCTACAGGATGTTAATGTTTTGCAGGCAGCGCCCTCCCTAACTGAATTCTACACCGCTGCTAAGCTATACGCTAACACTAACCAAGCGGGAGAGCAGTTGTTTATGGGAAATGTAGTTTTTAGACGGGAGTTGTGCCACAATCCGCAGCAAAAAATAAAAATAGGACGTAAAAAGGTCCTGAAAATTAAGCATTTCGCGAAAACAGTGTATAATCTGGACATGAAGCGGATCATAAATGAGTAGGAATACCTTAAAAACGGAATATGTAAGTGAAATGAATGACGCCACTGTCCTAGTTGGGCAGACGCAGCCATGTTGGTAAGGGCTCGGTAGCTCGTGATAGATAAACGGTGATATTCTCCTAAATAATCAATGCAAAAAGACACACCTGTGCTGAAAATTCACCTTTCGACTTCAGGCGAAATAAACAACGCTGCAGGACTGCTGCTATTTCGCAGCGCTCTCTCTAACTTCATTACACACCGCTGTTTAGCTACAAGCTAATAATAGCTACGCGGAAGAGCGGGTGCTTATGGGAAGTGAAGTTTTTTAGACGAGGGTTGTACTACAAAATAAAAATACGACGTAAAAACGGCTCTGAAAGACAATCAAATCGCGAGTACAGTGTATAATCTGGAAGTGGGGCGAATTATAAATGAGTAGAAATATTTTAAAATTAAATTATAAAAGCGAAATTGATGAAACCTCTGTACTGTTGGGGCAGGCGCAGTAGCCATGTTGGTGAGGGAGTTTTATGAGCCAGCTTTAATTAGTTCATTTTAAATTAAAGGCTGTTATTCACACATGGTGCCGTTATTTGGCGTGAGTTGCCAAATACTGAGTAACTAAACACCTTTGCTTTGTTATGGACTCCCAAGATAAGATATAATAAGTGGGGAATCATAAAAAATATTTCTGTTTATTTTTTTACGTCCTGCCGTGTTTGATCTGGCTGGGTGACAGAACACATAAATCAGTTTACAGTAAATTAAAGCTTATAACAAACCAGAACACGGTGCATTGTTATCAGTCTTTGAGGTATTCATTTTAAAATAGTGCCTCCTTCACATTAATATTTAATATCCCAATCATTCACATCAACATTTAATTTAATGTTGAACTGTCTTCGTTTAGTAATGTAATACCGCTAGAGCGACTCATTAAGAGGAGGAGTGATGATGATGCCTCTGCCCGAGCACGTGGGTGATAGAGGAGATAAAGCGCGTGCACAGGGGCTGCGGCTTTCTTTCTGCAGGAGGATGTGAGCTCGTGAGGACGACACGACACAACACGACAGCAGGCTGCACGTGGGCCCAATTTAGCTTGATCCTCGTATAATTGAGTCCCTCAGTTCGCTGAGTCGTGTTTATTGCGCTTTATTGTGCGGCTGGGATGATTTAGCTTTCATGCACTAATAATGTGAAGGGCTGGAAAGGGTTAATGCGGCTAACGGAGACAAAAGGGAAGCTAATGGGCTACAATGCTTTACAGGTTGGCTTCCAGCTGAGGCACTGCCTCTTTTCTCTGACTATGCAGATGCCTTTGGGCGCAGCAGCCTCAGACCTGGAGGAGCAGCGAGCTGGTAAGAACATGGAGATGAATGTAGAGACCGTTTTGTAGTGAATCAGCAGGTGCATCCATCCAAACTGAGCTCAGCGTCCACGTGTGTCGCACTTCTGCCTCTCTGAGGCTCCTCACACAGCAGAAAGAGGTTATAGCCATTGCAGTGCTGTGTTTAAAGGAGAATTCCACCGATTTTCCAAAATTCTTACATACCGCAGTGTTTCACTGAGCGGTTTGGTGTGAAATGGTCCCAATTTATTTACAGTGGTGGTGATAGGAACCAGGGGTCGCCATGACTACAACACAAATATAGACGTTTTATGTACTATCCAGAACCACCAGTGAACCTACATGAGTCTTCTGAGTCTATATGGAATGTTGATGATGGAAAATAGTGGAAAATCTGAAATAATAAGTTTTCTTTGGGGACTATTTTGCCTCACAGCGCCCTGCATGTATCCCTCCACCATGAATGGAGTTTAAGTTCTCTAAACTATCATAAAACAGTGTCTCAGTCATCAGGCAGTGTTCTTTTGCATGATTAAAGGGTTCTTTATCATGAAAGGTTCTTCAGATTGAGGGAGAATGTGCTGTAGACGGTTCTGTGTGCAACCTTTTTTGAAAAGGGATCTTCTATTATATACAAGCTTGACTTGTAACAATAGAAGAACCCTTTTGGGTGCTATGCAGAACCTTCGCATTCTTCATCAATGCACAGAAGCGTTTTAATCATGCAGAAGTGTTCATGCTTCTATATAAAACCATTTTCTTTACTAAACTCTTAAAGAATCATCTTTTTAAGAGTCTAAGTTGCAAAGCCAGAGGTGTTTCCCCATTAAAGATCCTTGCTTAGGCCTAATCTGGTTCTGGGGAAACTGTCCTGTTAATTATTTACATTGCAAGTGTCCATTCAGCCCCAGGGTTATTCAGCTCTGGGGGTTTTGCTTTGTAGCTTCACCCTAGAAAAAGATCTGTAGTAACACTAAAAGAGCTTGTAGTGCTGTATAATATATCTATGATCTCCTCTGTTTTACTGTAATCTAATACACAATACTCTGTAGTAACTTCTCATGACTGTGGGTTTAATCAGAGGCTCTTATAGGAATCCTGTAGTTCTAGTGTAGCTCTTTCTCAGGAGGCCTGGTCTTCACTGCTGTCTGCATGTTGGATGGGTGTCTCTGCTGTTTTATCCTGAGATGATGAATTGTGCAGTCCGTGTTTCACCTGAGTCTGATGATTACGCTCTCACTGCACTGATCGGGGCTGTGTGTGAATGATACTGGGTCATACAGCAGGAGGTCACTTCAACATGTTTTCTTTCTGCTCTCTTTCAGAGCCGCCGCGGTCGACGGTCTAAAGGTGAGTCTCGCTGTCGTTAATCATTTCCTTTTCCCTGAAAGCGCATCTTGCTGATGAGTTGCATGTCTGTCCGCGTTTCACCTGAAAAACTAGTGATTATTTTCATGCTCTGAGAGACTGAGATGCATTTCTGAGCACATCTTTACTGTGACTTGTCAGCTAATCCTTCTGTTTTAATAACAGGAGACCACCTGGGACCACTCTGAGGTATGAACTGAAGACTTTTTATTTTTTTATTTATTTATTTATTTTTTTTTGGTCAGTGCCTTAGAGGTGGGCAATATGACTATTGTATCATTATTGCAATAAATTTTATCATGATACCCAGTATGCTCTCAACATATTGTGGGTAGTCAGTACTTAAAGGAGAAGTCCACCTATTTTTTCTGTTAATTCTGTTACAATATAAAACCAAGTGATTAAGTGGTTTGGTGTGAAATGGTTCAGATGTCTTTACAGTGGTGGTGATAGGAACCAGGGGTCGCCATGACTACAACACAGATATAGACGTTTTATTTACTATCCAGAACCACCAGTGAACCTACACGAGTCTTCTGAGTTTATATGGAATGTTGATGATGGAAAATAGTGGAAAATCTGAAATAATAAGTTTTCTTTGGGGACTATTTTGCCTCTGCATGTATCCCTCCACCATGAATAGGTTCAAATAGATGGAATAAGATGTTATGGGACAAAACTATCGTGAAAGTGTCTGACATCAGGCATTGGTAAGTTTCTCTAGAATAGAGCGTTTCTCACCAAACCACTCATCCACTTAATTATGCAGGAATTTTTAAAAATCTGCAGCGTTCCCCTTGAAAGAACCCAGAACAGCTGCACGTTTATTTAAGAGCGTACTTGGTACTGTTTAATTGCTGCAGTACAAAATGTGAATTATCGTTCCCAATTTTGTTGGCAGTTTTCATGTCTGAACATGATGTGCATCAAATGTCATGACGCTATTAGTGTTTTATTTATTTTGATGAATCACCCACCTCTGCCTTAGTTTCATTTGAATTGAACGGTGTACATGAATTAATTCTGGCATCAATACTGTTACGGTTTTTACTTCCTTAATTTGGTGTGTAAATCTTCTCCCTCTTTCTTTGTGATGTGGAAACGAATTTCTGTTCAGTTATTTTCTTGAGTAATTTCTTCATCAGTTTTAAAGCTCTGAAATTGAATGTAATGTATGTTTTAATGTGATTTGTTTTAACTTTAAATTACTCACTTATTTGCTTTTATTTGCTGTTTTGTTCCGTGTTCACCTTTATGACTGTAAAGCTCTAAGATGAAGTTGGCACAACTGGAAGCTGCTGCATGAATAAAGTTCTTGAATGCATTGTGATACTCTGTGTTGAGTCATTGCATATCAGTGTTCACTTCTAATTCCCTGAGGCTTCTTGACCAACAGCCCAGAGCTCAATCTGCAGGTGTGCTGTGATTTGGGATGTATTGGAAATATTAGTGTTCAATTGCAGTGCATCAAAGTTGCATCCCTGTTTACTACATTGCACCTTCCCTCAGTGCTGCTTGCGTATTATATAACATTTTTGCTCTGAATCACTTTAAAAAGGAACTCCACCAATTTTTCTAAAATTCTGCCTAATTAAGTGTATGAAGTGTAAAGTCACTCGGTGTGGCATGTCGCACCAAACCCCTCTGAGTGACTGATACTGGGCCTTAAACCACAGCAGCTCGGTGCCACCTTGAAGGCTTGGATGTGGTCTGAGCAGGTTGAGATGTTATGTATTTATGATTTTGGGTGACTGTTCACCTCTAGTGTTAGCAATTTTGGCCTCTCCAGTTCTAAACAAGAAGCAAAATTTCAAACATGTCTTGACTGAGTGCATTTGAGGTTAGTAAAATTCTGAAAATCTGACTTTCTGCCAGACTATTACTTTAAAACTGTCAAACGGGAAATGAGTAAGTTAAGCCATGATGAGTCTTGCTGGGTACGGCACATACAGAGCCTGCATGGCACGCGAGTCTGCGCACTTTTAAACTAGAACCTTCGATCTTTTGCTCTTGGTGTCTGCAAGCTGTTGCAGTCACTAGTGTGGACTTGGAGGAGGACTGCAGGGTTCAGAGTGCTGTTTATGACAGGAATGTTCTGTTTTTTTCCTAATTTCAGCATAAAATCACACAGTAATGCCCAAATAAGTTCCGCCCTTCAGCAGAAACAAGTTCAGGAATTAATAACCAAGTGCTTTCCTGAGAAGTTACAAGAAATCACAATTAATTTTACATAAAGGAGAACAATTTTTTTTTTCTCAAAAAAGTGTCTAATTCAGTGTGTGAGATGTGATTCAGAGTGGTTTGGTGTGAAATGGTTCAGATGTCTTTACAGTGGTGGTGATAGGAACCAGGGGTCGCCATGACTACAACACAGATATAGACATTTTATTTACTATCCAGAACCACCAGTGAACCTACACGAGTCTTCTGAGTTTATATGGAATGTTGATGGTGGAAAATCTGAAATAATAAGTTTTCTTTGGGGACTATTTGGCTTTAGAACACCCTTTATGTATCCCTCCACCATTATAATGAATGGATAAAAATACGTTTTAGACCAAAACTTTGTCAAAAAACTATCATAAAACAGCGTCTCAGTCATCAGGCAGTAAATTCATAACCATTTCATGTAGGAACTTTCTGTGAGGGAGCTTTTAGAGGTGGACGTCTGGTTCCTATCACCACCTCTGTGAACAATTCTGACTCTTTAAGTTTCTGTAGAACAGAGTGTTTCACACCAAACCACTCTGAATGATGAAAATTTTAAAAAATCAGTGGAGTTCTCCTTTGAACAACCACCACCATTTGTTATGTTCCAGTCAAAGTTCAAATACTCGATTTATACAATGAGCATCTAAAGTGTCCCATATGGAAAAACAATGTATTTCAAATGTGTTTATCAAATATATTTTTGAAATGTATGAAAATGGCCAAAATATATTTGTTAAATATATATTTTAAAATGCATTTATCTGTATGTGTTATTATGTGTTGAGTTGTGTGTAATGAAGGTTCCAGATGTAACTAAATGTACTGACTGTGATCTGCACTGTACTTTACATTAACCATGTACGTCTGCAGTCAGACTCTCACACACAATGTATTTCACATAAACAAGATATCAGATCATAACTGCATTTTCACAGAGGATCAATACCCACAACACTCGCTTCTGTCCTGATAAAGGATCATTTGATCAGATTTAAAATGAAGATACTGGAAATTCATTTCTAAAGGTATCAGACAGTGAAGAGCATCAGACAGGATTTGATAAACACATTTACATAGTTATTTTTCTCTATGCGTAATATTTATCCATACATTTTAAAATTAATGCTTTTGAAATATATTTGGTTAATATGGCAAAATATTCTGAAACATATTTCAGTGTTTGAAATGTATTTCAAATATATAAAAATGCTTGTCCATGTATTTTTTCCATATGGAACGGCCTTATTAATGCTCCCAGAAAGCTTCAGCTTATGCTAAAATGTTAAATTGGCGATTACTTTGTGATAAAACTGTGTTTTTATAGTTGTTTGTTGGAAATTATAGCTGAGTCCTCACAGAAGATGAGCTGCTCATAAAGCTCTGCTCATCACCTTCACACCCAGTTTGACTCATCAATTCTTGTTAACATGCCAAGAGCTGCTGTGTTCAAACAGGCTAATTTGAAGCAGCAAAGTCTATAAATCTCTGTATTAAACCTCTGATATGAGTGCTTGGACACAGAATGCCAGCTGAGGTCTGAAAACCTGGAGTCAGACGATGCTGTAGGCTGTGGATTTGCTTTAACAATAACACGTCGCCTTATATCTCAGTTATGACAATTTTCATTTTAACTCTGTAAAACTAGCCTGAGGCAGATCTTTATGGATGTTTCTCAATACAGAGAACACGAGGAATGGACTTGAGTACTTGGGTAGAACATTCTAGACCTTGCAAGCATGAATTCACAAGAAAAACAGACGGAGAACATAATGAAAGAGTTTCGGATGAGCCCGGCTGATTTCACCACACTGGAAAAAAAAATTATACTTATATTTCCAACTGAATAAAATAAATCAACAATGTCTGCTGCCTTTTAGCTGTAGTTGTGTTCATGTTAGATATATGAAAATTATCCCATTTAGCGAAATTTGTCTGGCCCACATTCTAGGCTGTGTTTTGGCCCAGTATATGGCTGAGTCTTCAGCCCTGACCTACACACTGTAAAGTGAGTAGATCTAATGGATGTGGCCCAAATCTGGCCCAACTACATTGTTGGTCCACCACATTCATGCTAGAATTGGCCCACAAATAAAGACACAAGGCAAAACCTTAGGAACCTGTACAACATCTGGCCGTATTTTGGCCCGCATGCCTAACATCTGCCCGGTAGTCAAGCGACACTGAAACAGGAAAACCAGAATCGGCCCGAAACTCTCTGCTATCCTGTCTAGAAAAGCAGCACAGAGCAGCATGACTGGGAACCAGCAAAACCAGCACATCGCTGCAGTGGGAACAAAACCTCGTATCTCCATTTTTGACAATTTTCAGTTTTTGACATAATTTGAAAGTGCCTGTTGCCCGATACATTGTATGTAAATTGCATGAACTGACCAAAAGAAACGGCCCAAAATGACTTGGAATAAGTCTGGTTCCATTGACTTACATTAAAAGTAAAGCATGTTTTTTCCTTCTCCTGCAAAGTTTCCATTTTGTCGATACGAGGTTTTGTTCTGACAACAGCGAAATGTTGTGTTTTGGATGCTGGTATGCTGGTCTACCAGCATGAACACTCTAGGGTGACCAGTTAAACCAGAAGCAGACCAGCACTAGACAAGCATAGACCAGCTTAGGCCACCATGAAACGCCTGCTGGTCTGTGCTGCTTTTTCAGCAGGATTGTTCTTGAGTTCCAACCCAAAAATAACATTATTAACCACCTTAAAATCTCAGGATTATTACATAATAAGGCTTATTATTCAGTAACTACAGGGACTTCAATGCAAACTGGCTGAGCTGTTCTTGGATTCTTTGGACCTGCCCGCAGGCCCTGGCCTGTTAAGGGCTTAAACCACAGTTCATTACGTTTTTTTTTTTTTTTCATAGCATGTATGTAGGACTAATATAATAACATATAATGCACTTATTTTAATTCATTAATTACATTTTATTTAACTAATTATATTTTTTATTTACTCTTATTTTATCTCATTTATTAATGCGCTATATTGTTGTAATGTTAATGGTTTATTGATTTGTTTATAGCTTTTGGTATGTTTTATCTTCTCAATCCCTGATTTCTGTACTGAGTGATATTAAAGGTTGATTGATTGATTGATTGATTGATTGATTGAATTGGAAAGCTAATATATCTGCAGTTGTGTTTGTATTGATAATCACAATCACTGTGCACTTCCAGTGTTTGTGAATGAAACTGCTCCAACACATAAATATGAAACAGCCTGTAATAATTTACCAAATACACCCTGTCAACAGAGTTAGCGAATTCACCACTTAAACACACAGACATGCTAACTGGCTGAAGGTTTTCTCACATCATGATGCAAACAGAGCCCTGTGAGAGTGAAGGGAAGACATTCAGAGCTAGTCTACTTACAGGTGGTCATTACTTAATGAACCTACAGCCCAACACACAAATACCACATGCATATGCAAATGTTTGGGCTCCCTGGTCAAAATCCATGTTTGGTTGATATTTATGCAGTAATGTTCACACGGTGTGACGCTCAGCTGCTGCGTTTGAATGAAAAATAAGAAAGTGATGAAAATGGAGATGCAATCAGGGTTTTGTTTTGGACAGTGAGGCTGTATAAACGCCAGCGGCTGGGTGTGGATCCGTATCTGGGGAAATTCCACACTCAGTAAAGCAGAACGATGTTCTGAAAGATTGGAGAGATAACAGTCTGGAGTTTAAAGCGTGTCGATATAAAGTTAATCGAGTTTAAAGACGATGTGGAACGAACACAGCTCAGTTATTTTTAACACACAGCGTCACCTTCGTTCATGCTGGCCTTCTTCTCTGGAAGTCACTTCAAGGTTTTCATCCAGTGACAAGGCAAAATAAAACCAAAACAAAAAGCAAAGTTTAATCTCGACTTTCTACAACCTTATAAACAACTGAATATTGTACATTTCAGTAGTTATTTATTTAAATAAGCTAACACGATGTGACATAGACCTCTGAAGTTGTGCGTCAGACTGTATTTGGTGTCATGCCCATATTAGGAATTCCAGCTCTAAGCAGGTTTGTTCTATGGGAAAAATGAATTGTGTTTTTGAAAATCGCTGCCATCACATCCTGTAGTGAACAAAAATGCTCCAAAGCTGATAAGTTTTGCTGCACAGACACTTTTCCACTAAATGTCACTGAATCTTCTGAATTACAAGGTCGTTAAGTAGTTAACGTAACGGAGACGAGTTTTGGATCAACCCGGCCGATTTCACCACACTGGAAAAAAGTGATACGTTTCCAACTAAATATAAAATAAATCAACTGAACGTTGTCTTTTACTGACTTTTAGCTATAGTTGTGTTCATGTTAGATATATGAAAATTATCCCAGTTGGCCCACATTCTTGGCCTTGTTCTGGCCCAGGATACGGCTGGGTCCTCAGCCCAGATCCGAGCCACACACTGTAAAGTGAGTACATCTAATGGATGTGGCCCAAATCTGGCCCAACTACACTGCACTCATGCTAGAATTGGCCCACAAATAAAGAAACAAGGCTAAACCATACGAAGCTGTACAGCATCTGGCTCCATTTATGCTACATGTAAGCTGGCCACGTTTACATGCAGCCTGATAATCGGCTATTAATCCGACTAATAGTTCAATAGAAATAGAATACGTCCATGTAGTCACCTCAATAGGTGTAGATTAGCAGTCAGCCCTTCTGTTATGTTGTGGGTCAAATTGACTTGTTTCAGAGTTTAAAAATACAGGAAAATATTTTTGATATTTTTTGGAACATGAAACCATTTCTATTGGACTTATGGGTCATTTACTGTTGACCCGCAAGAGAAGAGAAGTTTTGTTTGTACTAATCAGCATGCCCCATGACAGAAGATGTGAAAATGGTTGAAAAGGTCTAAAAAAAATAAATAAAACAATACATTGAATGTCTATGTACAGAAAAAAAGGCTGAAAATGATTTATTAATGAAAAACAAGTGAATTATTAAAAGTAATCTGCAATGGGTGAAAAATGAAATAACTCTAAATTGTGATTAAATTGATGTTAATTGAGCTAAAGATAATGTTTATGAAGAAAAATATATCATTTATTTACTTTAGCATGCTTAAATATGCATCGAGTCAGTTTGAACCAGGAACATTATTGCTGTTCTTTACAACTGAACATAACAGGAGAGTTAAATAGAAGAATAATATCCGTGTAAACGCCTGTATCTGATTACATTCCCTATCGGAAAGTTTAAGTCCGTTCTGATCATGTTCGTCGCGTCATAGTGAAAGTTTATACCGTTCAACATGGCGGAGAAGAAACTGGTCTGCAGAGGAGACGAAGTTTCTGCTCTGATCTTTAAAAGATGGCGGTGGGACGGACGTCCAGCTTATGTGTCTCAGAACACGACGTCTTCCTCTCGGCCTTCTTTAATAAGGACATGTGAAGGACGTTTTCCTGAGTCTGATATCATTTTAAAGTCATTAAGAACACAAGCACTGCTCACTGCTGCTCATCTCACTCTGACTGGGCTCACGTGATGCTGGTTGTCATGGTAACAGCTACACTAAGCGGTTCTCTACACATGCGTGTAATTTTGGATCTGATTACTTGTAGTGAGCATGTAAACGTAGATTTTCATCAGAGTGTTGAGCAGAGTGAGAATAAACACCTCAGTCTTAATCTGTAATCAGAATGTATTTAATCAGATTGGAAAAAATCTCTGCATGTAAACACAGACAGTGCTGGAGTTTAACCCCGTAAAATCTCAGGCTTATTATTCACTAACCACTGGGACTTCGTTGCAAACTGGTTGAGCTATTCTTAGGCTATAGAATGATGTATTAAAACTTCGGGTCTGTCGGTGGGCCCTGGCCAATTAAGGGGTTTATGGTAGACTTACTTTCATATGACATCATTTCAATGTACTTGCTTGTAGCATATATGCAACATTATTCACATTTGGCTGCTAAACGACCCCATAACTCAGAATCCAGTGACACACTGTTAGAAATAAAGGCTCTGTTCAGGTACATTTTTTGTTCATCAAGGTACAAACAGTGTAAATGTTCCCTCAAAGCTCCAACAGTGGTTTTAAGGTCTGATTGTGAACCTTAAATAGGTTTTTCCAGGTGAAAAGTTCGTATTTGTTCCTTTTCATAACCGAATGTTTTAATCAGAACAGTAAAATAAAAGCCTGGAGACGAGACGGGGTGTGTGGAGTCAGTACAGCTTAGAACATATCATTTCAGTGGATTATGGATTATGATGCTAAAGGTACTGAGATGAACCCTTGAAGGTTTCACCCCAGTGACAAGAGGAGCACTGACCCAGAGACAGTGTAGTACCTTTATTTCTGAGAGTGCAGTGTTGTTAACCACAGGGCAGTGATTTTTTGACCATTTTTGACCGTTCATTTTTCTCATAGAGAAAGTTCCTATAGGATCCTAACATATATAATGTTAGGCTATATTTTGGTGAGCGCCCAACAATGTGGATTTTATTTACCCTTTGCATGCTGCCTTGGTCCTGCAGTCGATATTTTGGATGCGCGCTTTCCAGTGACCCCAACGCTGTCCCTGTGCTGTTCTTTATGTTTTGATTACAGCACTGTTTGAAGTATCTGAGTTTTTCAGCCCCAGAGCCATTCGCTCTCGACCTCCGCGCTCAGTCTTCCTGCCATTAGAGTCCAAAGCTGTGCCCTCAAAGAGCCGAGCCATAAAAGCCAGGCCGTCAGCTTTGATGTAGGAACGTCCAGCGAACGTGTAGAGCACAGGGTTAGCACTGCTGCTGATGAAGGCGAAGGCAGAGGTCACCGGACGGATGGACTTGGAAATTTTTTCCAGCCTACATGGAATGTGAGAAAAGAATAGAGATTAGTTGCTGGCTGTACCAGAGCCAAGCCCCTCAGTGCTGAATTAAAGGGGACCTACTTTGCTCATTTTCAATGTTGATGATGTTGTTTTTGCTCTACTATAATAGATTTACAGCTTCAATGTTCCAAAAACACATTATTTTCCTCATCCTGTTCATCTCTATTCACCCTCTGTCTGAAACGCCCTGTTAGAGCTGCTGTGTCTTTAAGCTCCATCTCCCGATGAGCCCAGTGTGCTCTGACTGGTCAGCTCACCCACACTAGCCAACACTGTTCTGATTGATCAACTGCCAGAGCAGCTCTCCTCCCCACGTTCCGCCCCTGTCCTGCAGTCTGCAGACAGACCCTTCTCTCCTGAGCAGCTGTAAACTCCGCTGCGGCTGTTTCTCCAGCGGCGTCGGTTCAGCCGTATCAGTTTGATCCAGAGTGGATCTTGAAAGTCCGGTCAGCGTCTCTCCACACGCTACAGCACTGAACACACTCTTCCTCCTCCAGTAGCCGCTGTGCGCTGTGTGAGGGTGTGTCGAGCTCGCCTGGCAGCAGGCAGTAAGGACTGTGTTATGAGACTGCGTCATCTCAATGGGCAGGGCTAAACTGCTGTAGCTGAATGGTGGGGCTAAACTGCTGTAGGCTGAATGGGTGGGGCTAAACTGCTGTAGACTGAATGGTGGGGCTAAACTGCTGTAGACTGAATGGGTGGGGCTAAACTGCTGTAGACTGAATGGTGGGGCTAAACTGCTGTAGGCTGAATGGGTGGGGCTAAACTGCTGTAGCTGAATGGTGGAGCTAAACTGCTGTAGACTGAATGGTGGGGCTAAACTGCTGTAGACTGAATGGTGGAGCTAAACTGCTGTAGCTGAATGGTGGAGCTAAACTGCTGTAGACTGAATGGTGGAGCTAAACTGCTGTAGACTGAATGGTGGGGCTAAACTGCTGTAGCTGAATGGTGGAGCTAAACTGCTGTAGGCTAATGGGTGGGGCTAAACTGCTGTAGGCTGAATGGGAGGGGCTAAACTGCTGTAGGCAAATGGGCGGGGCTAAACTGCTGTAGGCTGAATGGGAGGGGCTAAACTGCTGTAGGCTAATGGGCGGGGCTAAACTGCTGTAGGCTAATGGGTGGGGCTAAACTGCTGTAGGCTGAATGGTGGGGCTAAACTACTGTAGGCTGAATGGTGGAGCTAAACTGCTGTAGACTGAATGGTGGAGCTAAACTGCTGTAGCTGAATGGTGGAGCTAAACTGCTGTAGCTGAATGGTGGAGCTAAACTGCTGTAGACTGAATGGTGGGGCTAAACTGCTGTAGACTGAATGGTGGAGCTAAACTGCTGTAGCTGAATGGTGGAGCTAAACTGCTGTAGACTGAATGGTGGGGCTAAACTGCTGTAGACTGAATGGTGGAGCTAAACTGCTGTAGGCTGAATGGTGGGGCTAAACTGCTGTAGGCTGAATGGGAGGGGCTAAACTGCTGTAAGCTAATGGGTGGGGCTAAACTGCTGTAGGCTGAATGGGAGGGGCTAAACTGCTGTAGGCTAATGGGCGGGGCTAAACTGCTGTAGGCTGAATGGGAGGGGCTAAACTACCGTAGGCTAATGGGTGGGGCTAAACTACCGTAGGCTGAATGGTGGAGCTAAACTACTGTAGCTGAATGGTGGAGCTAAACTGCTGTAGCTGAATGGTGGAGCTAAACTGCTGTAGCTGAATGGGAGGGGCTAAACTGCTGTAGGCTGAATGGGAGGGGCTAAACTGCTGTAGACTGAATGGGCGGGGCTAAACACTATCTAATATTTTACTCTTCCACTGTTTTGTGGTAGAAATCATGAGTTCAGTATATGTGTAGAGATTACAGAAAGCCATTACTTACGTGTTCTTGAGCTCAGACTCCTTTGGTGCACACGCAGCCACCACCTAACCAAGACAAACAGAGAAGCGTTATTTTCTTTAAAACTTGAGATTTAGTTATGTAAAAGGTACAGAATGTATTTAAATACATTTGATTTGTCCTGTTTGAGTGAAGCTCCTCACCTGTATAACGTTAACAACGTGGTAGGGCAGCCAGAACACAGCGAAGGTGACCACGATGGCCAGGATCAGTTTCTCACTGCGGACTCTCCTCCTGAACTTGGTCTGTCTGAGGCGTCGGAGGATACAGATGTAGCTGCCCAGAATTACTCCATACGGAAGCAGGAAGCTCATCACCGTCTCGGTGGTAAAGTGGAACACCACCTGCTCAAAACACAGTAAACACAGTCCAGCGTTGATGAAGGTAAAATAGTGGAAAATCGAAAAGAAAGACGTTTTCTTAGAGGACTATTTTGCCTCACAGCGCCCTGCATGTATCCCTCCACCATGAACGAAGCCCATAATCTTCTCAAAACTATCATAAAACAGTGTCTCAGTCATCAGGCAGTGAATTCATAACCATTTCATGTAGGAACTTTCTGTGAGGGAGCTTTTAGAGGTGGACGTCTGGTTCCTATCACCACCACTGAGAACAACTGACTTGGTAAGTTTCTCTAGAACAGAGTGTTTCACACCAAACCACTCTGAACGACATCTTAACCATTTCATTATGCAGAAAATGCCAAAAACAATTGGTATTTTCCTTTAAAAGGAATAGAAACTAAAAGAATTACGTACATATTCGGAAACCGCATGGTTGTAATCACAGACCAAGCGCTGTGTAATGTTATTTTGTTCACTCCTGAAGATTAAAGCCGGCAGAGCCAGAATGAAGACCAGCAGCCACATTGCCGCAAGGACGGCCAGGACGATCCTCCGGCGGGTGAGGGAGTGGACGCGGTGAGGCCACCGCACGGCCACCAACCTGTTCAGGCTCATCAGCATGATCAGCATGATGGAGGCGTACATGTTGGTGTTGCAAAGGTAGAAGAGCAGCTTGCACATCACTTGGCCGAACACCCACGACTGCTGGGCCAGGTAGACCAAGAAGAACACGTTGAGGCACATGATGGTGCCATCAGCGCAGGCCAGGTTCAGGATCAGCAGGGTGGTGACCGAGCGCTTACGGGCGCGGGCCAGGATGCTCCAGATGATGAAGAGGTTCCCCGGGACTCCCAGGAGGAAGACGATGACCAGGATGAAGGTGCCGATGATGAAGGAGATGCTCTGGAGGTTCCCAGAGTTATCAGAGCCGGTGGCATTTCCTGACATTATTGGGAAAGCCTATGAAGAGAAAGAAGCAGAAAAAAGCAGAAATGATCAAAATCCAGCCATCAAGATGAAAGATTGTTCATGTTTATGGGCAACAGTGTGTCAGAAACCACAGAATCAAGTCTATTAGCTTAGAACCTGAAGCCTGCATATTGCAGAACGTTCATAGCTGCCTTTTAGCCTTAATAACTTCAGAATGGTTTAAGCTACAGACATGATACACATATCAGAACACTCAGCAGAACCTGCCCTCACTAGCCTGCATGCTCTGATCAAACATCAGCCAGCAATTCAGCTCCAAAAATCACCCAAAATCCACTCGCTACTGTTATATCAGCTCTCTGCTTTAGCCTTCACATTGTAAAAAGGCTTAAAAGAGTGACATGATTCACACATCAGAACACTCATGACAGTAAACTCAATCTGAAATTTAAAATTAAGCCTGTTTTGCTTTCTATCAGAGTTTTAGTGCTCAGCATGAATCCACGAGGACGGAAAATCAATCAAAAACACGGCAGCCTATGCTAATCACTTATTTTTACTCACTAATAAGCAACAGATTGAGCCAACATTAAAATTCTCGCATTACCAGCTCACACACCTTCTAGACTAACAATTTCCTAGAGCGGGTGGTGTTGTATAATTCGGGAGGTCCTAACTAGTAGGTTGAATTGAATTTGACTAACGTGGGGAGAAAGATTGGGAAAGAAAAAGAAAAATACAGTCAAATTCATAAAGATATCAAATTTCTGTTAGCATTTACATGTCAAATAATGGCATATGTGAGTAGCCCAGGGTCTCCTGGACATAACAACACATGGCATGTGTGACCGTCTCATGTAAATACTTGTAAATGTAATTGACCAAAATTCCAAAACAATCACGCTACATTGTCATCAGCTCCTCAGAGATAGAGACAGAGAAGAACTTGATTTAAAACAGCTGTGACAACATTTGTGGTAACTGTGCAGATCTGATCTTTAGCTAGAGCCATTTCTGAACATCTGGGGCCCCTAAGTGCCCCCGCAAATCCCCAGTCATATTCTTTTGTAAACAAAAATAAAAAAGAATTAGCATTTAATTTTAGCAGGGGCCTGGATACAGTTTTAGGTGGCCAGTTTGTAAGCATTAAAGAGGAAATCCTCTGATTTTTTAAAATTTTCTGCATAACTTAGTGGTTAAGATGTAAACGTAGTGGTTCAGAGTGGTTTGGTGTGAAACGCTCTGTTCTAGAGAAACTTCCTGAGTCAGAACTGTTCTCAGTGGTGGTGATAGGAACCAGACGTCCACCTCTAAAAGCTCCCTCACAGAAAGTTCCTACATGAAATGGTTATGAATTCACTGCCTGATGACTGAGACACTGTTTTATGATAGTTTAGAGAACTTAAACTCCATTCATGGTGGAGGGATACATGCAGGGCGCTGTGAGGCAAAATAGTCCCCAAAGAAAACTTATTATTTCAGATTTTCCACTATTTTCCATCATCAACATTCCATATAAACTCAGAAGACTCGTGTAGGTTCACTGGTGGTTCTGGATAGTAAATAAAATGTCTATATTTGTGTTGTAGTCATGGCGACCCCTGGTTCCTATCACCACCACTGTAAAGACATCTGAACCATTTCACACCAAACCACTCTGAATCACTCTGTTTACATCTCAACCACTGAGTTATGAAATACTGGTGGAATTCTTCTTTACCCCTGTTTTTCTGTGGTGTTTTTCAGTGGAAATATTTGTGAGATACAAAAGCAGAATCTCATATATCTCATATCGCAGTATACCTGCCTCGCCCCAACACCACGAGTACGTCAGTACAGCAAGTGAAAACAAATCTGAGTTTATGGGGAACCTGTATTAGACTAGGTTTCCTGGCCATCTGCCTCCATTACTGAGACAAAACAGTATTTTATATGGGAAAACCGGACGCCTTCGTTTATCTGGAAAAAGGAAAAGAGAAAAGGCTGTAAAATGTTGTTCCTGTTATTTCTCTCTATATTCTTTAATACACAGATTGATCTGAAACAGTCCTGTTTGTCACCCATGTTTTCCTTTACAGCAGTCTTTCTTAATCCGGCTCATGCTGACCCACAGCACTGCTGACCCAACTGTGCAGATCATCTGCTGATTATTGATCCCTTCCTGATCTGGATCAGGAAGCTGTGGGCCTCCACTAGCAGGATTAAGAAACACTGCTTTAACCCTCTGGGGTTCACAAACTCGCCTGTGCATCAAAGTCTCTGTTTCTGAATCTGTAGAGTCGCCCTTTCCATTCCATCTTATCTCGAGATCATACGAGACTCACATCCGGAGTTATGAGCCTATGAAGAGGGGCTGAGATACACGTCATCTGCCTCTCACCGTGTGGAACTGGTGGATTGGTGTGTCCATCTACATTCTGTGTGAAACTGACCAATGGACACTCAGGAAATCACTAAGGACTGACCATCATGCCGGAAACCCTTCATTCTTCATTCAGTCCACATCGGAGACTCATGTGAAACGGCGTGCAGAGAGTTTACAGCTGCTGAAGCTGCTGCAGCGGTTTTGGAAAGTAGTGATGAAGATAACGGAGCATTTAGATATGAAACATATGAGGATCATGATATATGAAGAGCCTTTAAAGGAAAGTTTAAGGAGAGATGAACAGATCCAGAGACCACAGAGGGTTAATGAATGTCTGTTCTTCATGCCATATGAAGTTCTGCAGGTTGTGACAGAGGCGCTGAGATGTTTGTTCTCTTATGCTCTCTTAACATGCTGTACTCTAGACATACAGCATGTTAGAACACGTCAGGTAGAACGTTAGTGTTTTGGGGATTACTCATATCCTCTGATGTAACGGAGCATATCTGCCCATCCTTAAACACACACACTGAGCCTGATAGATGCCTGACCCCAGGCAAGATTATTAAAGCGATAGTTCAGTTACTGCTTAACCGTAGCTGATCAGCCACGTTTTGCCCTGGAGCTCTGAGGCCAGTGTAGCCTACAAGCAGGAACATCCTGATCCGGAAGTGTCAGCTTTTACCGATCTTTGTGTTTTTATAGGTAATACAGAAATACACAGAGCTCAAAAGTAGCACTGGGACACTTTTATCATCTTTTTTTAGAATTAATAGAAGCAATAGGTAACACTATTGTTTTCCGATTTATATTCTTCTTCTTCGTCTTCGTCTTGTTCTTATTTTTCTGCCGGGTTTTTATCCACTAACTCGTCCCACAGTTTTCGAGATATCAACACCATTCCACTTCCGGAATGTTCAGTCAGATCGGGAATGGTGTGCTTGTATACAGCTTTTAGTACAATTATTGAAAAAAAAATTTCCCCATAGGACACGAATGGGAGAACTGTGTGTGCAAAAGTTTGTGCACTCCACTTACTGAATGATAATACACTAGGAACATACAAACGTCTACATGGGATACCATAGTAACTGCCTAGTAACACCCTAGCAACCACCTGGGATATCATAGCAACCACTTATCAACATCTTCGCAACCACCTAAGATACATTAGTAATCATTTGACAACACTGCTAAAGCCACGCTGTCGCTCTGCATTCTCCTCAGGAAGTTCACTCTTCTTGTTTACTTTCTTAATCAGTCCATTTTTGTCGATTTTTTACTTTTTTGCATGATTTAAAACCTCTAGTTACTCTTTGCATCATGTAAAAACTTTACTTTGATAAAAATCTTGTTCCATTGACTTCAATTACAAGTTAATAATGTTTTTTCCTTCTCCTGAAAAGTTACTGTTTTGGAGATACAAGATTTATTCTGACAGCATTGTGTTGTATTATGGAAATATTGCATTACTTTATTCAAAAGTTTTTCATTTCAGCTATTTTACAACTTATACAGCAATGCTTTGGGTCCAACTGCACAACAAGAAGCTAGAAAACTTTCACCTAACACCTAATCTTGTTTCCAAATGCACAACCTGCTACCAACCGGTGCTCCTCTAAAACCACCAACCAAACACACCTGACTTGATTTCATTAACATTCTGGATGATGCTGCTTTAGAAAACTTGAATATAGAGTTGAATTAACTTGTCAAAGAATATTGTCTCTTTGTAAAAACAGGTGTGTGAGAAAAACTTTAAAAATTACATAGAAAATTCTAAAATCAAGTGAAAAATGTGCTGAAGTGGAACCTGCCACACTCCGACCATCCAAAAGGGAACGTCCGACAAGCCAGCTGTGCAAACTGCCCTCCATGCCTAGAAGACTAAAGGGCAGTCATCCAAAAGAAGAGATACGCAACAAAATACTGACCACAGTAAAATACCAGATACTGACCTATATAAAGGACGGGGAATCCAATGTACTTTTACTTCAGTCTTCAATTAATTGCAGGAATCATTTTGATCGTCTCACTTAATAAACCTGATCAGTATTTCTGATTATTATGATAATGTTGATGTTTACAAATGAATAAATTATAGATTTAGTTTGGAAAGTAAAAATAAACAAGACGTAAACTGTATTCAGAGTCCCAAGACTTTGTTTGAGTGCTGTGATGTAGGTTAGCTATCCCTGCTGAAAAAAAAAAACAGCCCAGAACAGCAAGCATTTCATACTGGTCTATGTTGGTCTGTACTGGTTTATGCCAGTCTAGTGCTGGTCTAGTTTAGCTGCTCACCCCAGCATGGTCATGCTGGTTGGCCGGCATACCAGCACTAAAACACAACATATCACTGCTGTCAGAAACAAAACCTTGTATCTCCAACATGGTAACTTTACAGGAGAAACAAAAAACACACTTTACTTTCAATGTAAGTCAATGGAACCAGACGTTTTCCAGGTCATTTTGGTCGTTTCTTTTGGTCCAAACTTCTTCAAGTTTACACACAATGTAAAGAACAACAGGCATTTTCAAATTATGTCAAAAACTCAAAAACGACAAAAATGGAGATAAGAAGTTTTGTTCAGACAGCAGCGATGTGCTGGTTTTGCTGGTGGTAAACCATGCTGGACTTTCTAGCGGGGATGCTAGGCTGCAGATCTATAAAAAAGATAGAGATTTAGTCGCAAAGCTGTTGTAAAACACTCAATATAAGCATTCCTATAATCTGAATTCTGTATTAATGCGCTAACTCACTAAAACCCTGCTAGAAAATCCAGCACTGGCCAGCACAGCTGATCACCAACGTGTTTTGGGTGCTGGTGTGCTGGGTGACCAGCTAAACCAGCACCAGGGCAGCTTGACCAGCTAAGACCATATAAATATGTATTTAATTTGTCCATTTTATCAGCTCCACTTACCACTCCAGCAGCACTGCTGTGTCTGATCCACTCGTATCAGCACAACACACACTAACACACCACTACCACGTCAGTGTTACTGCTTAAGGCTGTATATGACAAAAAGAGAAAAAAGTGCGTGAGTATGCCAGGATTCAGACTTTCAAATAGCGAAAATAGTGAAAATGCTCATCGATGGTAATAAAACTTGCTGCTTGCACAGGTCTCTGTATGTGTCATCTTGAGTGTGTTGTTTCCTCACTTTGCTCTCTTTCGTTTCTCTCTACTGTCTGACCAGCGTGCTCAATCAGCCAAAACTGGGCTGACAAGAAAAGACAAGAGTCAACGGTGCAGGACACGCCGCACACACCGTGGCTGAAACCACTAAAACTTCAGACACCAAACACGTTCTGATTGCCTCAGGACGTTTGGAGTAAGTTTAGGGGGGCCAATCTATCTTTATGCAGGAGAGCAATCAGAGATGCAAACAGAGCATGTGAGGATCAGGAGATGCTGATAAAATCACAGACAGAATAAACATCCAAGAAAACCTGGAGCTCAGTGAGAAAAAAAACAAACTCTCTTGTGTTTCATGACAAATGGGACGATAGATTAAAAAAATATATATGGTTACCTTAACAGATATTAAGAACACTGTTCCTCTTATATAATGTCAAAAGAGGGATAAGTTTGAAGGACTGATGTGGAAGAGTTAGTTTGGAGGATGGATGTGGAAGGTTAGTCTGGATGAAGGGTCAGTTTGGAGGATTGATGTGGAAGGTTAGTCTGGATGAAGGGTCAGTTTGGAGGATTGATGTGGAAGGTTAGTCTGGATGAAGGGTTAGTTTGGGGGATTGATGTGGAAGGGTCAGTTTGGAGGATGGATGTGGAAGGTTAGTCTGGATGAAGGGTCAGTTTGGAGGATGGATGTGGAAGGGTTAGTTTGGAGGATTGATGTGGAAGGGTTAGTCTGGATGAAGGGTCAGTTTGGAGGATGGATATGGAAGGGTTAGTTTGGGGGATTGATGTGGAAGGTTAGTCTGGATGAAGGGTCAGTTTGGAGGATGGATGTGGAAGGGTCAGTTTGGAGGATTGATGTGGAAGGGTCAGTTTGGAGGATTGATGTGGAAGGTTAGTCTGGATGAAGGGTTAGTTTGGAGGATTGATGTGGAAGGGTCAGTTTGGAGGATTGATGTGGAAGGGTCAGTTTGGAGGATTGATGTGGAAGGGTCAGTTTGGAGGATGGATATGGAAGGGTTAGTTTGGGGGATTGATGTGGAAGGTTAGTCTGGATGAAGGGTTAGTTCAGAGGATTGATGTGGAAGGGTCAGTTTGGAGGACTGATGATGAAGGGTCAGTTTGGGGGTTTGATGTGGAAGGGTTAGTTTGGGGGTTTGATGTGGAAGAGTTAGTCTGGAGGATTGATGTGGAAGGTTAGTCTGGATGAAGGGTTAGTTTGGAGGATTGATGTGGAAGGTTAGTCTGGATGAAGGGTTAGTTTAGAGGACTGATGATGAAGGGTCAGTTTGGAGGATTGATGTGGAAGGGTCAGTTTGGAGGATTGATGTGGAAGGGTTAGTTTGGAGGATGGATGTGGAAGGTTAGTCTGGATGAAGGGTTAGTTTAGAGGACTGATGATGAAGGGTTAGTTCAGAGGATTGATGTGGAAGCACAGGAGCAGCAGAAATGAGGGATGGACAGAGAAGTGAAATAAAAGGAATGCTAAAGAACAGTTACTCACCACTGTGATCCAGATGGCCTTCTGAAGGAAATGTGAAGGAAATTAAACCAGGTAAATTCAAAAGGCCACAGCCAGACAGTGTAGGATCTTTTTCTTTTTCTCCTTCTCTCTCTCTTCCTCTGTCTTTGCACACTCTGTCTTCTGTTTCTCCCTCTATCAGTTTCTCCCAACTGTGGCTTTGCCTAAGAGATCACTGTATCTTAGTAAATCAGGTTGCCATTCTCTCCCTCTCTCTCTCTCTCTTTCTCTCTCTCTCTCTCTCTCCCTCCTATAAATAAACTGGTGTTCTCTCTGTCAGTCTGTTCTGTTCCCCTTGGTTTCAGCATAGTGCATGTCCAACTTTGCCCGCTTCTTATAAAGGGAAAATCTTGACTTTACACAGGCTGCGGCTTGCCGAGAGAGAGGGAGAGTGAGCAAGAGAGAGTGAAATGCGTCAGCGTTTTTTCCTCCTCCTCCACTCCTCCTCCACTCCTCCTCCACTCCTCTCCTGTCTTCAACTTTTCTCTAACAACTGACTCCAGACCTCTCCATGTTTACTCATCATATTTATATTTAAGGCTCGTTTGAATGTTGACAAAAATAAAGAAAAAAGATGCAAATATCTTTTTTTTAATTCAGGTGAATTGATCTTTTCACACTCCACCCACAAATGTGCACTTTTTAGCCAGGGGTGGAAAATGCTTGAGTAATTGACCATTTGCAAAATTATGATTGACACTCCTCTTAGCCAATCACAATCGTCTCTAATTCCTTCGTCAAGCCAAAGAAAAACTTCAGCAGAACTCCTGAAAACAAGCCTGCAGTGAGAATGTCAGCGGCAGTAAATTAATATTGAATATATGGAGTAATAAATGATCAAAAGGTGTTATTGAGGAATGTATAATGCCTGACTTATGCTATTCCGATCATCTGGAGGGTGGGTTTGTTTTTATTTCCTTCCTGAAGCTGAAAAGGTTTTGTATTAGAATCTGTAGAAGACGAAACTCAGAGATACCCAGTCTAGATAATGTGGGTTACTGCACTTTAAAATTTTTTAGTTTGCGTTTTTTTAGTTTCTTGTTCACTCAACTTTTGTAAATTCTTAGTTATATGAACAAAATTACAAAAAGAAATATTTAGTTAAGCTAACATGACATTTGTTTTACTAAAAATCATGCTTACACAACAAAAAAAAACTTGCTACAGAATTTCCCTGAATTTTTCTTGCTCACTTAAGTTTTGTAAATTATTATTTATACTGACTGACATTTTTTATGTCAACGCTAAAAGAAATGCTCAGAACATTTATTGTACTAAGATGTACAGCTAGTCTTGAGCAAAGCTCAGCTGAGTTAATAACTTTTAACTTTGTTTAACAAACAAAGAAAGTTTAGTTTATGTAACCATCACATTCTCACTCACCAAACAAAACTTTCTGAAGCTAAAAATATTCATTGGAAATCAGTACCAGGGAACATGGGTTGTGTCATGAAACTTAAAGGACACGGTTAGTGTCCAGCCCTATAGAAAAACTGTGAGTGTGTAAAGAAATAGAAGAGGGGGTACAACACAGGTGATCACAGCTGAGCAGTCAATAATCTGCCACAGGTCTAAGAAAATAATGCAGTACAATAAGCCACTATGTATGTATATGTGCTCACCTGTGTTCACCAGTTTATGGGCATGAACTGATACCAGAAAGCATTTTGAAGCAACTGCTTTAATTGTCTAAACCAGGGTTCGGCAACATGCAGCTCTCTTACTGCCCTGTTGCTCCACAGCTGAATCAGATTAGTAGGTAAAAATAAAATAATCCTCCTTTACAGTAAAATAAAGCTCTGCTGATCGTTCAACACAGTTTAACAATAAATGGTCTTAAACTCTGGAGTTAATGTAGAACTGCTGATTCACCCTTTAACCCTGAAGATCAGCGCAGACTGCTGGTCACCATAGCAACACACACAATAATCTCGCCTAGTTAGTAGCTAACGAAACGGCAAAGAGAGAGATTTAAGACGAACATCGATAATTTGGAGATGAATGGACTGATTAGTGTTTATAATCACTCCAGCTGGATTCCTGATACGTTTAATCTGCAACGAGAAACTGAAACACTAAAAAGTCGTGAAGCTGAAGTCGCTTCTCCTTCAAATTTTCCCGTTCCACCTTACATGATGCCGCAGTTACATTCTGCCACCTCAGGCACCATTTAAGGTGGAACGGGAAAATTCGAACAAGAAGCTGGAGAATGAGAAGCTGAAAGTCAAATGTTGAGAGACATTTTGCAAGAAATTATTCTGCTTTTCCTGCTGGAGATGCAAGAAATGCGACTATAGCTGAGCTGAAGCTTAAAGCAGAGCAACATTTAGTTTCGTTTATATTTTTTAGCCTATACTAGCAATTTAGGACATACTGAGACACATTTACAGCCAAGATGGTAAAATGGACATAAAATGCTGTGGCTCCCAGGGTTTGTGTTTTGTTGAATGGACAAAATGGCCCTTGTTAACGTTTTGGGTTGCAACCCCTGGTCTAGACAACATATACACAACTTACAATTCAGACAAAATGAGTGGAATAACAATCACATAAGTAAAGAAACAGTTACAGTGGTATTTACCTAAAATTACAAACTAAACCAGTGGAGCAGTACACCGCTGTACTCGACCATATGAGTACACTCACTTAATTATGCACAGCTACCTTGTATCTATGCTCATTTTCCATTTAAACAGGTCCATTTAACGTATGCGTGCACTCTGAAGTTGTGCAATTTCAGATTGTAGTTGTAGTAGCATAATCCGTTAACCCTTTCACCTCGTTCATCAATGATCAGGACCCCAACCAGGACCACCACAGAGCAGGTATTATTATTATTTGGTCCTCAGCACTGCAGTGACACGGGCATGGTAGCATGTGTGGTACTGTTTCTAGTGTATCAGATACAGCGATGCTTTACATACCTCAGCATCACTGTTGGAGTGAGAACACCAAAAAAAAAACCAACAGCGTCCTGTGGGCAGCGTCCTGTGACCACCGATGAAGGACTAGAGGATGACCAGCACAAACTGTGCAGCAGCAGATGAGCTATCGTCTCTGACTTTACATCTACAAGGTGGACTGACGAGGTAAGAGTGTCTAATAGAGTGGACAGTGAGTGGACACAGTGCACCACCCAAATAATACCTGCTCTGCGGTGGTCCTGCCAGGGTTCTGACCACTGAAGAACAGGGTGAATGGGGGTTAAAAGGCATGCAGAGAAACAGATAAACTGTAATCTGTAAGTTAGGAGTACCTTAAAATGGCCAGTGATTGTTTACGTATGTGTGTGAGAGAGAGACAGCAAGAGAATGGTCATCTAAAGCCCACCTCACTCGTCCCTTAACAGGTACGGAGGTCTCTGTTCAATTTCTTTGCCACCTGCAGCTTGTGAAGGTGGATTCTTCATGGCTGCATGAAAAATGAAGAAATATTAAGAAAGATCAGTAATAAACACTCACCAGACGAAACACAAAGATGAAGATAATCCAAAAGTAGACAGTCTAAAAAGTAAATATACAAAACAACAATAAGAAAAAGAAAAAGATAAATGCAATAAAACCAAGAAGGAGAACGTTGATGTGAGTAACGATGTATCACAACAGCACACAATCTTGAAGGCTCCTGCTTTCACGCAACAGTTTTGCAAAGTAAAGAAAAATATTCCAACATCCATCCATCCATCATCTAAACCGCTTATCCTTCTGGGTCGCGGTGGGGTGCTGGAGCCTATCCCAGCTGTCATTGGGCGGAAGGCAGGATACACCCTGGACAGGTCGCCAGTCCATCGCAGGGCAGACAGACAGACATACACAGTCACACACACTCACACCTAGGGGCAATTCAGCACGTCCAATCAGCCTGACTGCATGTCTTTGGACTGTAGGAGGAAACCGGAGTACCCGGAGGAAACCCACGCAGACACGGGGAGAACAGGCAAACTCCACACAGAAACGACCCTGGTCACCCAGCCGGGGATCAAACCAAGGCCCTTCTTGCTGTGAGGCGACAGCGCTACCCACTGCGCCACCGTGCCGCCCATATTCCAACATTTAGTGCTAAAAATAAAACATATAATGAAACATGTACTCATAACATTAAGAGCAATACTATAAACAATACTGTAAGTAAAAGCACCTGGGACAAGCTGTAAGTCCTGATCAGTCGAGAACCAGACGGACGGCTGTGGGAAGAGAGAACATTAGGCAAAAGTTTAAAATGATAACTTCAACAACAAAACAGATGCAGGCAGGTTGTTGAAACTTGTACAAGCATTCAAGCCTCTTAAATCCAGTAAAGACGCTGCTTCCATCACTGAAAAATACAAATACTTTTTTGTTCCTGACCTCCTCTGGGCTTAGATGGTCAGCGAGGAGCAGGTGGACAAAGTACACAACCTGTTAACTGTTGTGTAAGACAAGTGTTAAAAGCAGAAATTGACTTGTATTGAGAGACGATGAGTCTCAGGATTAAATCAGCCACAACTTCCTTATTACGCTTTTACTACTTTAATAACTGATCATGCTAATTAGCCGTCCAGACCAGCAGGAGAGTATTCAGTCTGTACCTGGCGTTAAAAACCGAGTTTAGCACGAGAAACACAATCAGACACATCAGCAAATCCATCAACGTGTGAATCACTTCTAATATTAATCCACATGAAAATAAAAAAAACCCCTATTGTTCTGATTCGCCAGCTTCTTCTTCGAGTTTCCCCATTCCACCTTAAATGGTGTTGCAGTCACTTTCCGATGCCTGAAGCTGCACCATTTAAGGTGGAACAGGAAAATTCAACAGACAAAAAGAACAGACTCAGTTTATATCACAATACCTACATTTAGAGTCGGTTATTCATTCAGCCTAATGAGAAACTGTAGAACAGACTCAGTTTATATCACAATACCTACATTTAGAGTCGGTTATTCATTCAGCCTAATGAGAAACTGTAGAACAGACTCAGTTTATATCACAATACCTACATTTAGAGTCGGTTATTCATTCAGCCTAATGAGAAACTGTAGAACAGACTCGGTTTATATCACAATACCTACATTTAGAGTCGGTTATTCATTCAGCCTAATGAGAAACTGTAGAACAGACTCAGTTTATATCACAATACCTACATTTAGAGTCAGTTATTCATTTAATCTAATCATTTAACGCAAAGTTACTTGTTACTCCATAATTCCAGTAAATGGAATTACACAAGAATTCCCCATGCCTTACTGTACGAGTACACGCTTGCAGAGCTGTAACATTGCTCTGGAATGTTGCTTATAGGAAGCAGAGATGGAGTACATAAAAATATAATGGAAAATTCCACAGATTTTTCAAAATTTCTGGATGACTCATGTCACAGAAAACAAAACATTCCTTGCTGTTTTAAAAAAATATATATTTTAATATGATATGTAAACATGGTTAAAGTTTTTAAT